AGGAGAAAAAGTCCCAGTCTGATGGGAACCAGCTGTTTTCTAGTCATAATCATCGTCCTTGACCAAGATCACCTTCTTCCATCTTTGAACTATTTTTGATCAGGAATGGAAACACTGTCTGACTCCCCTCACCCCAGTCTAACCCACAGACACGAAGACCAATTTATAGTGTCCAACTGCTACACAAACTGAGATTAATCAATTTGGTTAATTTAGTTGGCTTAGTGCTACCTAGTGGAAGAAACCAAGAATGCAGTTTTAACTTTTTTTAAAAAAAAGAAAAGGTAATGTTTCTCCAGACAATTTATTTTCTTATTTCCTCAAGGCAACGCCTCATAAAGTTCCAGCTTGGCTCAGCAGTTAGCACTCTTGCCTCTCAGTCAGCAGGTAGTTATTTCAAGCCCCCAATTGGGATTTGAACTCATCACCTAGGCTGGCCATTCATGCGTGAGCATAGTATGTATCCTCATAGGCTTTCAGGGTTATTTCACTTCTTTGAGGTGGGGTGAAACCTTAGACAGTTTCCTAACTCCACACACCTCTGTTTACCTAGCAGTAAGTAGGAACTTGGTTGTTAGTCGAGTGGCAGATTGCTTTCTGGGGATAATAATTAAACCTTAAAAAAAAATTGGTCACTCAATCCACAACTGTTTGTGGGACACTGCTGTGCACAATTGGCTGCTGCATTTCACCCACAAAATACATAGTCAAATCACTTTACAATATATTCTGTGAAGCACTTGGAGATGTCTCAACAACTTGATAAGGTGCTGTATCAAACGCAAGGATTATTATTAAGTGTCATCAAAAGCTAACTGTTTGTACTGGAAACTAGTTTGTACTAGTGGAGTCCTGTAGCTCAGTGGTTAGAGCACTCACTTTGCAAGTGAGAGACCTGAGTTCAATTCCAGGCAGGGCGAAACCTTGGGCAAGTTTCCTTACTCACACGCCTAATAATAATCCCTCCAAAAAAACAAAACAATAATAAATTGGTCATTTTCAATCTACGACTGTTTGTGGGACATTGCTGTGCGCAATTGGCTGCCGCGTTCGCCCACAAATATACAGTCAATTCACTTTACAGTGTGTTCTGTGAAGCGCTTTGGGACGTTCTCCCGACGTGAAAAGCGCTATATCAAATGCAAGGATTATTATTATTATTATTATATTACTGTGGTGCAATCAGTCAATCTCCTAAGATTTCATTTTTTGACTCTTTTTTAGATATCCACTTTTATTTTTACTGGAGGTTTTAAACATTTACCAACAGATGGTGCTACAATGTTATATAATACTGTATCTATCTTACTCAGGCATCCATTCAACTCAAAGAGATAATTATTTTATCCTTAGGAAAAAATATTGCAAATGGTTTAATTCAGACCTAAATTCTGCCCTAAAATATCTCAAATAAATTTAGACATTGTGTTGAAAAGATACTGTTTTTAATAAGAGCACATTGCTAAGGTACTATACCAAATCCAGATTATTATTATTATTATTACTTCTACAAATCTCCCTTTATAACTGTGAACCATCCCCAAATCTTCAATGTCCTTTTATAATAATAATCCTTACATTTGATGTAGCATCATTCGTATCAGGAGGATGACCTGAAGAGATCCACAGGTATACTGTAAAGTGCAGCGAATAGGTATTTTGTGGGTGAACGTAACAGCTAATCCCCACACAGCAATGTCCCACGAAGCCATGAAGTGAATGACCAATTTTACTTGGGGGTTGATGACCAAGACATTAGGAGAAATTATCTTCTCTTTTCATATAGTGCCATGGAATCTGTAAGTCTACGTGAACAAAAAGAAGGGACCTCAAGTTTAGCTTTGCATCCAAAGGTCGACACCTCCAATAATACACTACTCCCCCAGCACTGCAGTGGAATGTCGTCTTCGACTTTATGAGTTCAAAGACTGGGCATGGGATTTGAACCCAGAACATTATGACTCAAAGGTGAGAGTACTACCAACTGGGCTAGGCTGGCACCAAAATGAAGGGGGTGTGGGGGTCATGGTGGTCCAATTAGCAGAGGTAAAGGATGCACAGAAATTGGATGTGATTATTGATTTGTTCACCGAAGGGTTTCATTCAATGTGACGTTACAGTAAACAAAGCTAATCAAATACTAGAAATGAAAGGAAAACCTGAGATGTTTAAAATCTGAAACCGAATGCTAGAAATCCACAGCAGGCCAATCAGCATCCAAATGAAAAGGCAGGTCAAAGGTTGGGCATAACTATTTATCAGAATTTGAATCTCATATTAGTTTTGTATCTTCACTGTATTTGACCGTAAGTAAAATAAAGTTATTTGTTACCTTGATGATGACACATTTAGAAAGGTGATATATCAAAAGTAAAGAATATCATTGTCATTTTGTACAAAATAGGACAGCTAATGAATGTTTCAAGAAATATACATTGTCTTTCAAACTATCCCAAACACACCTCAATTTAGTTTGACTAATGGAGCTAATTGTTTTTATCATTCGGGGACTCAATACATTTAATAATTACAATTAGCATTTTCTGATTCCATACTTTCCCACATCCTTAATATCATACTTGAAAATTGTGTATCTTGGCATTTGCATTTCCTGCCCAGTGAACAATTTGTATAATATCACCTCCATAACCCTTCCTCCAAGTTTACATTTCTGTTACCATTTCTGGGTTCATACAACCATTAGCATTTACAGAACAGAAGAAGGCCATTCGGCCTATTGTGTCTGTATTGGCTCTTTTAAGAGCAATCCTTTCTGTCCATTTGCCTACCCTTTCCCCATACCCCTGTAAGCCTTTTGAGGTATTTATCTAGTTCCCTTTTCAAAGCAAATATGGATTCTGCCTTAACCACTGCTGCTCTCAGCAGGGCATTCCTTATCCTAATTGCTCTGTGTGTGAAAAAAATTCTCCTAAACTCCCATTTTCTCATTTACTTACTCATTTTAAACTATCTTAGATGCCTTCTACTCACTGACTCACTGACCAGTGGAAGTAATTTCTCCTAAAACCCTTCATAATTTCTCTGTTGTAGTGGAAAAAGTCCCAGTTCCTCCAGTCTCTGCTCATAGACCATTCTCATCACCATTATCATCCTCGTAAATCTCCTCTGCACCCCCTCTATTGTCTTGACATCTTTCCTAAAGTGGGGTGACCAATACTGGACACAATATTCTAACTGTGGTCCAACTAACAATTTATATAAATTTAGCATTACCTCTTTGCTTTTGTATCGTATACTCCTATTTGTAAAACCGAAGAATCCATTAACTTTTTTGACAGCTTTGTCCGTCTGCCTTCCCATCTTAAGGATTTATGTACATTAACCTCTATTTTTCCACTCCTTTAATATTTTAATACCTAGCATATGTCAAATGCAAGGATTATTATATTCTTCCTCTCATTCTTCCTCCCAAAGTGTACAACCTCACATTTTTCTGCCTTAAATTTTATTTGCCATTTCTTTGGTGATTATGACTAACTCCAGTATTTGTTATGTTAGATGTCGTGTTTACCTAGCAGTAAGTAGGAATCTGGTTGTTAGTCGATTGCAGATTGCTTTTCCAGGACTAATAGTCCCTTAAAAAAATGTGGTCACTCAATCCATGACTGTTTGTGGGACATTGCTGTATGTAATTGTCTGCTGCATTTCGCCCACAAAATACACAGTTAATCCACTTTACAATATATCTGTGTAAAAACAGCTTTGAGTGGGTGCCTAATTTTTGGGCTTTTTTTTATCATTGTGCAGGTATCACATTTCGGTATATTCAGGGGCGTGGAGCTCCTGGAGCAGCACCTGAAATCCACAACGGAGGCTGCGTGCAGCTGAAGAGAAACAAAAATTCAGGTGGATGGTCCACTGGGAGAGGATGGGTCGATGGACATTTGTTGCTGTTTTAAACCTAAAATATAAAATAATCAAGGTTGGCCTATCTCTCTCTACCTCTGATTCTCAGTCCTTTTATTCCAATGACAGCAAGTATGACAGCTTTACCTCAAGCTCAGCAAGGATGTAAGAATTTAGCTTATTAATGGTCTCCAGCGAGCTGCGCATGTGCTCTAAGAATCATAATATATTACAGCATAGAAGGAAGCCAATCGGCCCCATCATGCCTGTGCCGGCTCTTTGGAAGAGCTACCCAATCAGTCCCCCTCACCCACTCTTTCCCCCATACACCTGCAAATTTTTCCTTATATAGTAAGATGCTCTATAGTAAGAAACTGAAAACACCATGTTTATTGGGCTTCTTTTGAGCTTGTTAGCCAACATAATCGTTGGGCTGCTTTTGAGCTGGTATTTGGTTGACTTTGGCTACAAACGTAATTTAATTTCTGGCAACACTGGTTCCAGGCTGGGTTGCCAGAAATTAAAATCCATTTGTAGCCCAAAATGCCAGCCCAGAATTACGTGTTGCCGAGTATGGGTATAACCGGTGGCCGATTTAGGTCAGCGCTTTGGAAACTATTTAAGATCTTCATAGGAGGGAAACAAAAAAAAAGGCCAATTTGTCCACTGTGCCATTACTCACTGATGGTTCAGTGTCAACATTGACCGACTGACCTACCCACTCATTCACTCATTTTTGGGGTCACTCGGGTGTCTGACACATGCGGAAACCCATCACTACGCTTTAGAGTATCCACACCAAACTGAGAATTCCCGCGCGTCCCACCGACACCCGGAAATCCCAGAGAGAGGTTGTTGGACTGGAATGCGCACTCCCTCCCGGGAGGGACACCACCCGCTTTCCCAATTCCAGAAAGTACGAGGCGCGGGTTGGCAGGAGCCAGGGCTCGGGGAAGCGGCGGGGGCGGTGCAACCAGCTTTACACCACAAGGCTTTGCCTGGTGCTGGTGCTGGTGCTGCCGCCTGTCTGGTCAGGTCCACCCTCAGCCCAGGGAGAGGGTTTGCAGGAGCTGAGTGGGATGACCCCCAGTGACTGGTCTGCCCTTCGAGGTCCTACTGCTGCTGCTGCTGCTGCTGAGGGGCTGTGGTGGTGCACTGACTGACTGAGTGAGTGAGTGAGACCGCGCGGGCGGGCGCTGTGTGCAGTGTGAGCGCGAGGCCGCAGCACTGAGGGCCTGAGGGCCGAGGCCTCGCCGCCGCTCTCAGCGCCGCCGCCTCGTGTTGTCTGCGTTGTCGGCTTTTACTCTCACTTCCCGGCGGTGAACCCCCCCCCAGTTCCCCCCCTCTCCCCCGGGGCTGTGTTTATTTATTTAAGAGGGCGGACCGGGCAGGTATGGGGTGGGTCGGGTGTGCGCGGTTTCAGGGACGGTTTGTGAGGCGGTTGTCCTCCCCCCCCCCGGGAGCTGCTCTCTGGGGGTTATTCCCTCTCTCTCTGGGAATTGCCGGGATGGACGTGTTGGGAGGTGTTTGTGGGGGGGGCGGAAGGCTCGGGTCAGAGGTGGAGGGAGGAAGATGCAGGAAACGCCTCCTCCTCCTCCTCAACAAATTTCTTGTTGGAAATGGACAGCAATAATGTTTTTTGGAGGAGGGGGGGATAAGTTTGCAGCAGCTCCGCGCACACAAAAACACAGCCTATTTATATATATATATATATATGTGTAAATAAAAAAATAAACCCCAAACCACGGTTCCCGGAGTAGAGCAACGTCGGCGAACTTGGATCTGAATATGTTAAAAGTCTTTCGTATGTAAAGATCTCAAAAGCTCCGTTGTTGCAGATTCGCGCCGTGTTTTACAAATCGTATCTGTTCGCCCATCTTCAAACAGTTACCTTTGATGTTATTGCACAGTCTGATCTTAAGGCAGTGAGTCGATATGAAGTCAATATTAATAATTCAATCGGGGAAGTTGTCTTTTGACTTGGCATCAGAATTGGCGTTAACGCATTAGGTCATTGCAAGAAGTCTTCTCGTTTTTGTCATTGCTGTTTTATTTTTTAAAAAAAGAACAAATTTGCCCATCTCATGCCAATGTGTTACTTCCTCGGCCCTTCTTACATTCCATCGGAGACTCCGCTCAGTGCCCCAATGCATTATTTGTTGTGTTTGTGGATTCGAGCTTTTTTCTCAGAGCTTTGAACTCGCAGTCCAGCTGTCACTCTACTGCAGTGTTGGTGGAACGCAGTGTTGGAGGTGCTGTCCTTTGGATGAGATGTCTGCCTTTTCAGTGGATGTTAAAACCCCCAGCGCTATTTGAAGAGAGAGTAGTTTCTCCAGCAGTGTTCTGGTCAATAATCCTCCAGATAAATTGGTCATTTACATAAATGTGTGATGTTGCTGATGCATCTGCTTTCAGATGCACTACCATTACATATTACAATAATTACCTGTAAAGTACTTTGAGAGATTTTGACGTCGTAGATGCTATAATCAAATGAATCCTTAAGTGCTGTTCAAAGCACCCCATTTGTACTGCAAGGTGGATTTCACTGCATTGACAGCAGCACCCAACTGTACGTGTATGAGATTTTTAGTTGTTAGAGAATCACATTTGCAATTGACCATTGTTTTTTCTGCTGTGGATGGAGGAGATCTCTGCAGTCCAATGACGCACAAACAACATTACTGGTCTGCACAACTATACTGATCATTTGAATGTACTGAGACAACAGCTTCTTTTAATTTATGGGAGTGCATTAGTAGCATTGCTGCAAGATAAATACAGCATCGGTTTCTCTGCATTGAAGACTTTGGAACATGCTCTTTATTGATGTAAAGATGTACCACATCTCTTAAAAATACTAATAATAATCTTTACATTTGATATAGCTCCTTTCATGCCAAGTGGATGTTTCAAAGTGCTACTTACTGTTAAGTGTAGTAACTATTTGTACGCGAATACAGCAGCCAATTTGTGCACAGCAATGTTGTACAGACAGGCATTAAGTGAATGATCAATTTTATTTGGGTGATTGTTGGCCAGGGTACCGGGAAAAACTTCCTTCTCCTAAAGATCCCAAGTGCCATGGGATCTTTAACGACCACCTGAACATGCAGACAGGACCTTGGGTTAATGTCTCATCTGAAGGATGGCACCTCTGACAATGCAGCGATACTACGGCACTGTATTGGAGCATCATCCAAGACTGAGTAAATTCAAAGTCATCACATGGGGCTTGAACCAATGAGATGAGAGTGGTACCAGCTGAGCCAGACTGATGCCATATTCTTATTATTATTAATAATATAGTATCAGTGGAGTCCTGTAGCTCTGTTCTGGAAAATCTGGAACGTGGAAGTAATAATAATAATCCTTGCATTTGATATCCTTATCAGTTAGTCCTATTGAAACAAATTATGTACAGTACTGTGGAGTCCTGTAGCTCAGTGGTTAGAGCACTCGCTTTGCAAGCGAAAGACCTGAGTTCAATTCCAGGCAGGGCGAAACCTTGGGCAAGTTTCCTTACTCCACACAGAGCCTAATAATAATCCCTCCAAAACCAAAACAATAATAAATTGGTCATTTTCAATCTACGACTGTTTGTGGGACATTGCTGTGCGCAATTGGCTTCCGCGTTCGCCCACAAATATACAGTCAATTTACTTTACAGTGTGTTCTGTGAAGCGCTTTAGGACGTCCTCCCGACGTGAAAAGCGCTATATCAAATGCAAGGATTATTATTATTATTATTATTATTATCAGGGTATCAGCCTGGCTCAGTAGGGTGGCACAATTGGTATCATTCACACCGCTGAGACAGAAGGTTGTCAGTTCAAGCTCCACATAGGGGCTTTGAACTCACAGTCCAAGCTGACATTGCAGTAGGAAGCCTAACCAAAGTGTATATTGTTCATGGTTTAGAGTTCTCTCAGTAGATCGTTCAGCAAATAAATAATAATAATAATTGAAAGAATGTTTCTTAATATTTTTTTCACAGTTTCGCAGTTTACTCTCTTGTAAGCATTGAAATGACCTAAATAATGGATAATTGTAGTTATAAATCTAGTCACACAAATTGCCAGATATCGACATAAGTGCAAAATGAATTCGAAAGCACGTCATCAAGGGAAATATTTTGCGATGATGGATTTATTTTGTTCCCATACTGTAAATGACATGCAGTGTCTCCCAGAAGAAGCCCTCCTGAATGATTTATTACTTTGCCACTGTTATCAGAATGTGCATTTTAGAAAACTATTTCCATCTGCATAATATGAAGAAAACTTACATCACAAAGTTCCAAGATAGTTGAGAACTTAAATTAGTTTTCACTTATATTGTTGCAATTTTTTGACAATGTTAGACATTACATCTGTTGTATGAGATTGGTAAAAAGCTACTGGCTATCCAATAGGGCTTGCATTATCTTGTTCAGAATTAATAATAAATAATAATCCTCACTTTTGATATAGCACCCTTCATGTCAGAAGGACATTTCAAAGCACTTCCCAGGATATACTGTAAAGTGTAGTGACTGTATTTTGCAGATACATTTGTGGACTTTGCCATTCAAACTTTGATTTAAAATTCATCACACTATTCTTTGTGAAAGAATATGCTATGTCACAAGTGGCGTTATGACTGAAAAGGTTGCATTTTTAGAATTTGTGTAGCTTTTAGTCACCTTTCCTTGATTCCCTCAAATACACCAGTTCTCTCACGGTTAACTGTCTGAAGTCCTCTGAGGTGACTTCCCGAATTTAAATTGCTGTATTGCCCTATATTTGCGCTAAAATACCTCTATGTAATTTTAGCTGTTTTGGGGGATTGACTCCTGTTTCTTGTCTGTAGGAGAGATGGCAGATGTCCGTGAAGAAGAAGATGAAGAAGAATGCCCTGAGTTGGTTCCAATCGAGACAGATTATAATTCCCAGAGTGTACAGATTCCAGTTACCATCATAACCGGATATTTAGGCAAGTAAAATATGTATATTGATGGGATGGTTCAAATGTACAAGCACTGCATTACCAAAATTGAGTTAAAATCGGAGTCCAATAACATCAAAGAATTAGAAATACCTAAATGTCATTTGTTTAATTAAAAATAATAATTCACCAGGCACTTTAGAACAATATATTGGAATTGTACTTTGCTGAAACAAAGGATGGTAACAAAAATAACTTGCATTCATATTGTGTTCTGCGCATAAGGTAATGTGCTTTACAGAGAGAGAGGGGGGATGAAGTTGTGTAGATGAGTAGAAAAGGGGGGAAACCCAGGATAGAGCCTTGAGGTATTGAACCTGCAGGAGACCATGTGAGTGTGAATCCTACTTGACCCATTGCCTCCACTTCGGTTCCTCCATTGGAACCTAGAAAGTTCAGCCCCCAGAGGTAGATAAGAGAAGAAAGGCAGTTAAGGAAGATAAAGTGTGAAAGGCAGCAGGTGAAGAGGCAGAAGGAGCCCTGGTCAAAGTGAGAGAGAGTACATTGATACTGATTTTGACTAGGAATTCTCGGTGCTGTGAGTGGTACGGAAGCCAACCTGGAGGAGCTCGAGCACGGAGTTGAGGGAGAGGTGGGAGCAAAAGTGGTAGTGTTTTAAAAATCTATACAGTAGATAGTAGAGAGTGAATTTTTGGGAGGTCAGCCAGGTGCCTTTAACACCTGTGGAAACCCATCACTATGTTTTAAGAGTATCCAAACCAAATTGAGAATTCCATGCATCCCACCTACACATGGAGATTGTTGGAATGGAATGTGCCTGGCTCGGGGGGTTGGCTGATTCCGGCATTCCTTTGCCAGACATATCACCTTGGAGCCAGTTCAGCTCCAAAGAGAGCCCCCCAAGAAATTCCCTTCTCTCTTTGAACAATGCCATGAGATCTTTAACATCCACTTGAACAGGCAGACAGAACCTTGATTTAACCTCTCATCCGAAGGACGGTAACTTCGACAATGCATTGCTCTCCCAGAGCTATATTGGAATGTCAGCCAAGATTCATTACCAGAAATGAGTCTTTAACAAAAGGACATGCCTGCCATCCTGTTAGAACAAGATTATTACTGTTGTTCTTCCCTATTTAAAAGCAATATTTCTGATAATGTGCATGGTTTACATTTAAAAGTGTACGTTTTCTCTTTCTTTGGCAGGTGCTGGTAAAACAACACTTCTGAATTATATTCTGACGGAACAACACAATAAAAGGATTGCAGTAATTCTCAACGAGTTTGGTGAAGGTAAGAGATGCTCTTGAACTTATAAGACAGACACTATCAGAAAGAGCAAATGTATCAAGGTAAAGCTTTAAAGGGTACTGATACCAACTAATCGTGTTATACATTACTGCTAATAATAATAATATACATTACTAATCTTAAATATATCTATGAGTAATCCGTGAGGAGATGTTGACTAATGTCTCATGTTACGGCATTATTCTAGTAAGGCAATATAGATATGATGTGAGGCTGAAAGAAGGTTTATAAAGAATGTACAGCATGGAAACAGGCCACTCAACCCAACTAGTCTGTGCTGGTGTTTATACTAAACACGATTCTTCACCCACTCTTTACTCCCTCCCATACCCTTCTATTCCCCTCTCCCTCATATGAAGGTCTAGCTTCCTCTTGAACGTATCTGATTCAACCACAGCTTCAGGCAGCGAGTTCCACAATCTCACTGCACTCTGTGAAGCAATTCCTCCTAAATTCTCTTTTTGATCCCCAAGTCACTAGTTTATATTTGTATCCCCTGGTTACAAACTCCCTAATTTGTTGTGGAATAGAAGGAAAGCAAACGGTCAGTGGCCTTTGATCTTTGGGTATAGGGCCCCTCACAAAATAGGGCAATTCTGAACTATAAACCAATTGTCACAGATCATTTTATAATGTTTAAAAAAAGGTTTGTGTTATCTTAATAACTTGGTTTATCCTAGTCCACTTTGTGGGCTCCACAGAGTAACAATGGTATTGTGTCCCAGGGAGTGCACTGGAAAAGTCTTTGGCAGTGAGCCACGCAGGAGAACTTTACGAGGAGTGGCTGGAGCTACGGAATGGGTGCCTCTGTTGCTCAGTAAAGTAAGATTATTAATTTGATCTGATCTGCTGTGTGCACCTGATATATTGAATTGCAGATTACCTTTTTCAGCTACTACGGATGTTAAGCTCTCTGAGATACAGTCCCGTGTGAAGGGCGCTGTTTAAATGCAAGTTGTTGTTGTTCTTTTGACTGCTTTTTCCTAATAATTGAACTTTTTAACAGTTGATTTATAACTATATATCATGGAATTCTGTGTCATATCAGATGTATGTACTACTTTGACTTGTAAAGTTTTTACTGAACTAAAACTTTATTGGAGCAACCAAAATAAGAGGTTAGATTATGAAATATGAAACTGTGTGTGGCGACCTGATCTAAATAATGTATAGTTGCATCCATTGTATGACAGTGTTGTATAGTTTCCTTTATTGCATTAATATAGCAGCATTCACATTTTCTCTTCAGCCAGGACAATATTGGCCGATGTCATATGAATGTTTTGTTATTCCATGTAGAGACAATGGTCTGAAAGCCATCGAAAACCTCATGCAGAAAAAGGGCAAGTTTGACTACATTCTACTAGAAACTACTGGATTGGCCGACCCAGGTAATGGAGCTTAGAATCAAGGATATACTAAACAAATTGGAGGTTTACTGCTAAGTTTTGTGTTCACCAGTATGTTTTGCCAAAATTTCTCCCTTCCACATTATACCCTTCCTGTTCTGAGAATGTTGACTCATACAAAGATGTGGTTCTGTAGATACGAGCTGACTTCTGATACCTCGCTTAAGTGTCCATTCCTCCTGCGAGAGCCTAGGACAGCGAGTTGTTAGGAGCCTATGTGATTGTGGAACACATCGCAGCTAAGCCATATCTGGATGTGTACCATCCGGATGTGTACATTTTCCCGGAGGTGCTGTTGGAAAGCGATCTGAAATAGGAATTCTGCTTATTTTTCACTTCCACAACCCAAGGGTGCTAATGCTAATTCTAGCACCTCAACTTCTGTTGAAGCTTGGATGGACCAACTCAGTGTTAGATGCATTTCACTTTAGCAATACTTTAAGCTCTCTGAGATTCTACCTGCTGGAAGAGCGCTGTATAAATGCAAGTTGTTGTTGAGTAAAGCATTTCCCTTTCACAGTTGTTAACTTCAGGGTACAACTGTGGAAAGGATTAAATTATCAAGTTTCTAATATTATGTATGTAACAATTAAATCATTGCTCTGAACATCAGAATTACTTACTTGCTATTGAATTGCTCATTTAAGAAGTTTCTGCATTCCCTGATTGTGTTGTGTGAACCTCTTATGTAACTATTATTAAGTATGATTTTTGTTAAGCGTTTGGAGCCAATAGAGCTCAGAGACAATTATCGAATACTATGGTCTTCTGAATTCTTGGCTACACACCCAGTCTATCTGTCCATCTCTTTCTTTCGGGTCCAGTTCATTACATTAATAATTGATTTATTTTGCTGCATTATTTAAATTGTCACAAAAGTTTCCAGCAGACTCCTGAACTTGTGCCGTACAAAATAAATAAATACTTTCTTTAACTTAGTCAAAATTTGGTAGAAATGTAACATCTCTACTTAACTGCAAGCCAGCAGATCTATCACTAGAAGGAGTTCTCAGGGATATAGAGTGAGAATAGACACAGTATGTCCTAGAGAAAAGTAATTGAAGATAGGTAAAATGAAAGTGCTCTATAGACCAAAGGAAAGTGTCTAAAGTAAAAGTGCTGCATTACGAGTATTGAACGATCAGCTAGGAGGAGACCAGAGTTTGAATCATCTTCTCAACATGTATTGGACTTGGACTTCCATTGAGTGCATGTGTGACAGTCCTGGCTGTCACATCTGGGGAAGTGAGAGCAAACCATGTTGGGAGGGATCCCATTCTTTGTCACTCAATTTCAACCCGTGGCAGATTGATTAAAGGATTTGATTGCACTTCTGAAAATTTCAGCAGATCAGATCAAACCTCCATTCGACTAAGGTGGGCAGGATAACAATTGGAGAGGGGAGAACATGAGGGGAGAAGGGACAAGCTGGAATAAACTGATAAAGTGATATAAATACTGGCAACTATTTCATTTTTTTAAAAAAAAGGTTTTGTTTTGCATTTCTCAGGCTGGTCACTTGCCACCCGCCTGTCATTAAACAGTACGAAACACCTGTTTTGGGATCTCCAGTAATGCTTTGTTTTACTGGACCTGCAGAGAACGCAACCAGTCAATGGCATTGCTTTTCTCGTCTATTTCACCACCCCTTCTCAAAATGCCATTTGCTCTTCTGATAGCCTGAAATAGTTAAAGAAATAGAACCTTTAGCATTACTGGGGGGGGGGGGGGGGATCATAGCTTGTGTTGAGCCTTGTCCACCAACCGATAAAATTACAAGATTGTTTTTATATTGTTTTATTGTGAGGGATGGAAGCGAAGGAGGGGTTAATCTATCCCAGCAATACTAAAGGTCAAGTTTCTTGTTAAGCAAGAAATACATTTTGAGATTTTATTAGCAACTTAGTTATTCCTCACATGGAAGATTGGCAAGTTGCAATTCAACCCTGAGTAATTGTCGTGCTATGGTAATTTCCCTTAAAATAAAGAACATTGATTTGGTTCCCACAGCTTGCAAATCCTATTTCACAAAATAGGAAAACTATTAAGCTTTTGGGGAAAAATCAATACATATCAGGCAGTCATTAGAGCCTTTGGCCATGTTGTATCTCGGATGAGTAAGCATTGTAAAGATCTGACAGGTCTTTCGCTGTCGACAGGGAATGACGTGCCAGGGCAGTATCATGTCAGTTCAGGTAGAAAGGTTTGGACATTAACAAAATGAGTTCAGTTATCATTGTTTTATTTCCCCCTAGCATTTCATTCCATCAAGTGGACGTGTCATTATTCTTCGGAAAATAAAAATACTTTTCATTTAATGTCTGCTCTTCAACAACATCTGTCACATCAGCACATGTCAGTGTCACCAAATTATGATTTCTAGTGATAAAATTTGCTTTTAGTTTCAGGGAAACTGGGCTGCTTTGCCTGCCTGCAAGTTCATTTGATTTTATCATTTTAAACTGGACATTAAACACTTTATTGAATGTTTCTTTTTTATACAATTAATGTAATTTTTCAATTTCATTTAAAGAAAAAAAAGCTATTTTTTTAATAGAGGCGAGGTTTTTACTTCTACAGGTTATTCATGAATTATTTGAGCCCTTTGAATGCTTGAATTTTGCACTGTGTTGTCAAGAAATCTTGCAAATCAGGATACAAATTATTTTTGACTTAATTTTCACTTTCAGAGGCCAATTAACCTGCTAATTTCCTAAAATTAGTCTACATTTTGTATAAATAAGATATAAAATGCGACTCGGTGCTTTAATGAAAAAAATAAGCCTCCCTAACTCAATTACTCTTCAGGTTCATTAGTTAAGATTCCAATGTCAGTCTGTGCTTTATTTATTAGAGCTTATGACAGCCTGGCGCAATGATAGACTCCATACGATGGTTGTGGGTTCAAGCACCACGTCGGGAATTGGAATCACACAGTTTTCCCTGGTATCTTGGTCGACAATCCCTTAAATAAAATCGGTCAATCACTGCATAGTTGTTTGAGGGACAGTGCAATGCACAACTGACTGCAATGTATCATCCACGTGTTGCATAGTCAATCCATTTTATATCCTGTGAAGCACTTTGAAACTTCTCAACAGTGATAAGTAATAATAATAATCCTTGCATTTGATATAGCGCTTTTCACGTCTTCTAGACGTCTAAGGTGTTATGTCAAATGCAAGTATTATTATAACAACTGAGCCTGACTCAAATGATAGATTCACTGGATTGGATGTTCAAGCCTTATTGCGGGACTTTGAGCTAAAGTATATATGATATAGAATATTTGAGTGATTGTAGGCAATAAATCCAGGAGCCAAGAGATGAATTGGTGGACATTGGGAACAGAAATACAGGGAGGAGTATGGGCAGGAATATCATTCAAAATGAGCATAAAGATGTTTTTTCTAAAAAAAGGCTTATTTTATGACACTTTTGTTTTACACACATATTGTCTGGGAAGTTTTAAGAATGGTGCATTTGGTCAACGTAAGTTCTTCTCCTTCCCAAAGGTGCTGTTTCTGCCATGTTCTGGGTTGATGCAGAATTGGGGAGCGACATTTACCTCGATGGTAAGATTTTAAATAATTTCTCGATAAATAAAGCTAAAGTACAATGTGTTTAACTAGAGCATTGGTTATTGCATGTTCACTTCATGGTGAGATAGATGCAATGTCTCTCTGACAGTATGTTCTTGACCCCTCTTGCTCCATGGCTTATCCTTTGATTGCCATTCCTTCTTACACCTTCAAGCTGAGCATGAAATAAAACGTTGGCCTGAATCTCTCTTCAATGTTGAACTGTTTGTCACCCATTCTGCAGTGTTGTGTTATTTACTTGAAGAGCACTAAATAATGCATTTCAGTGCTCTGGAGCTCACTGACATTCCTACTGTTTGTGAAAGAAAAACTTGATCTGATTGCCAATGATATTGGTACATGTGTGGTTTCTCAGTGTCAGCCCACCACAGAAAGAAGTTATGAGTTTAAGGCTTAAGCCCACAGTGCTGGGTAACATCCTCATGACCCCTGTAATCAGCATCTTGACTTGTTCAAGTTGACTATAGTTTCTTCGTCATTTACAGTAATGTGAATATCTGGCTGCAAGTTTGTAAACAGGACAATGACTGCTGGATGCAGAAGCCTGTAAATTTTGGGGGGCGTTTTATACGAAACTTAATGATACGAGTTGGATGGCCTCTGATTGCTCATGTGGGACTACACTGTATATTCCAGGTGATTCGCAGGTTGAATCCTGGTCCACGCTGAGTTAGTTGAACTCAGCCGGAGCTATGATTGGCCTCAGCGACAGGGGAATATTAATTAAGTGCCCTGTTCCTGCTTACTGTATGGAGGCTCCCTGATAGCTCGAATCTGAATGCTGGGCAAGCACAGGATTGTGCTTGACTGTGGAACCCTCCCCCCCCATCCACCATCCCTGCAATCAAATAGTCTGCAACACAATCTTCCAAGACTCACACACAAGAATAATGGCCACTTGAGCGAGTTCCTGAAGTGCTCCTGTGGAATGTACATAAGTAGAATCTGATGAGAAAAGAGAGGAGGGGTTAAAGTTAGAGGAGAAAAATTAGCATAGAAAAGAGTAGTGACCTACCTGATGGGCATTATGGAGGTTGGTACACGGGAAGAGGAGGTCCCCAGTGTATCCTAAACTCCAGAGAAACAGTAAGGTTTGGACTTTGTTTTTTGCTTACAAATGCATTCACAATACTGCACGTTTCAGCTATAAAGTAAACACTCACTGCACTTTATAGAATATGAAGCGCTTTGGCATGTCCTTCCGACAAGAAAGTCGCTATACCAAATGTAAGGATTATTATCATCTCGTAGAAGCTTTGTGAAGTGCTTTGAGACATTCTCAACATTATCGACACAATATCAAATGCAAGGAATATTATTATACTCCAAATGATGTGGCTTTTTTAAAATATACGGGAATGTGCTGTCATTCAAGAAAAGTGTCCTGAGAAGAGGGGCTGGGGACAGTAGAAGGGGAGGAAATAAGGAAGCGTTTGTAAACTGAAACTTATATATAGGGTGGGGGGGGGTGTAAACAATAAAAACATTAACCACTATTGACATCCGGCATGACTTATCGTGCTTCACTGATCTTCAGCCTTGATTTCTAGATGTTGTTCAGTTAAAATTGGTGAAAATTACCAATTAACCCCTATTCTCGTTGCTAATAGCTCTGGTTCTGGTACATGAGATCTTGGCAATAGCAGCTATACACTCTATGTAACACCTTTTATATTGGAAAAATAGATGCCTCTTTGCGAACTGATGCCTTTAATGCTAGTTTTGGTGATTTTTTTTCTTTCTTTGTTTCCTGATAATTCAAGTTGCAATGGTTAACCTGTTTATACGTTTACTACAATCTAACCACAGTAATTGTTAATAAAAAAATTGATAACTTTGCGTGGAAATTATTGCTGCAAGTAAAAATAAAAGAGTTTTGTGAAATTAAAATTTAGTTGCTCAAATTGGAAGATCGCTGAATAATGGAGAGGTACTAAGCACTTCAAGATCATGTAATTCATGGATCTTTATAGAGTGAAATTCCACGTTGGGTATAGATTTAATCTATTTATGAGGTATTTTAGAGCGTCCAGAATTTGGCAAAGTGTTGAGAAAATCATTCTGAACTCTGAGGTAGCTTTTCTATAATTATTGGAAGATGCTGTGGAAAATTGACTTCAAAATTAAGGGTGTATTTTAAGAATTTGCCAAATTCCGGATGTTGCAGAATGTGAGGTTAATAAGGCAAATCTAGGCTCCAATCCTGATTTCTCTCTAGTAGTTTGATAGTTTTCTACACCAGTTGTACATGTAGTTTAACTCAGTTTCAGAAAAGCATTTTAAGTTTCTGAACTTTGAGAATGTTGAATTAAGGGTTAAATTCCAATCCATCCTGTGGTTTTGGCACTTGTGAGAGTGACATAATCTAAGATGTTCAAAATGTTTTTTTCCCTCCCCTCCTCAGGTATTGTTACAGTTGTTGATGCAAAATATGGAATGCAGGTAAAACTTTTTGCTTCAAATCCTTTAGATCATTTGAATTTGTTGAGTTTATGAACTTAATTTAATACAGTAAACCTCACATAAATCATACCAGTTGGGACCATACATTTAAAATGCCTTATTCAAAGTATGAGTTATGTGAAATTTATTAATAATAGGAAATTCAATGGGACTTGGTACGACAGGCAATTACACGATTTATAGGGATCAGTCTTATGCGAGTGTTACTGTAATATATTTTGTGTGGCTCCCAATCGGGCATTTAAGTATTTTGTTTTTAAAGGGGTAGACTTACATTGCCTTAATGCACTCAAATTGTTGCTACATCTGTAGCAAAAATCTAGTTTGGAGCTCATGACTTAAATTTTTTATACATGTTTAAATATAGGTAGGAATATACATAGCATAATTGTTTTTAGTTTAGAAAAGAAACACACACACAAAATAGTAACTGCACAATAATGAAAACATTTATGCACAGATAAAGGTTGTGAATTTAGATTCTACAATCTGAAGGCAGCACTGGTGTAGCTATTACTTTTAATGAGTTAATCCTCAATTTGTCCGGATCAATGCTAAAGGCCTTTCGGCATCAATCAAAAAGAGGAGGGAGTTTCTCTCAGTCTCCTGTCCAGCAATCTCCCAGATAAAATTGTTCATTTACTTCATGGCTCTTTGTGGGACACTTGTGTGCAAATTGGCTGCTACATTCACCTACGAATAGTCACTACACTGAACAGTAATTGCTGTGATCTTGTGAACTTTCAAACACTGCAATGTATTTAGCCATTGGCTCAGAAGAAATTCCCAGGACTCCAATAACACAGATGGGGCCATTCTGAGTTAGCTGGGATGTTTGGGACAATGGATTTCATGTTGACTATGACTTTTTGAACAAAGTTATATGAATCTAAACTTTTTCTGTGCATTTGTGAGCACTTTGCCTTTGATTGAACTTGGTTATGCATATTGGCTAGAACATGCATAACCGATTTAACGCCTCACTGGCCCAGGGTCACCGAGGACCATTGTAGCATTCTCTACTGCCAGCTGGCCTGATATCAGCTAATTCAACACAGAATAGAGGAATGGGTATTAAACCTGGGTCTCTTCAGGTCTGTGCAGCTCAACGTTACACGCCAAGCAGTAGCTTCACTGATTTGAAGGCAGTGGGGCCAACCTTTTTGGTCAGCCAACAAAATATATTTTCTTAATTGAATATTTCTTCATTTATGTCATAACTCAAGATAATTTAATAAGGAAAATCCTGGCAATGCATTGATTGATCGAACACGGACTTGACTTGTGTGAATGTTTGGGGAGCAGCTTCTGGATGGCCCCGCGAGCCACAGGTTGGCCACCACTGACTAAGGAAAGAGAAAAGTGTTGGAACAGTACTGTCCTGTCAAGCCTGTTATACATACCTTTCAAGGGTGGTGTGTAGAAGTTTGCATTACAGTCACTCCTGTACTCCTTACATTGGCAGAAAAAGATCTGTGAGTCACATTAATGGTGAAAAAAGTGCACAATGGGAACTTGGTGTGGAGAAGGTTAACATTTTGTATGAAATGTTAATCCGGGTGTCCCACTGGAGAGCGTTTCCAAGCAATAATGTGAAATAAGCATTTTCAAGTCTCATTTCACAATATGGAAGAAACTTTAAATGATCTTTCTCCCCTACTTCCCGCCCGCATAATGACCCGGACTAAGCTCCGTACCCACATCTCAGCAGTTCTGGCCAGATTCCACTGGATCCCCATCCCCGAACTGATCCACTTCAACATCCTCACACTTGTGTTCAAATCCCTTCACTCTCTAGCAACTCATTACCTCTCCAACCTCTTCACTTCCCAATCCACTACCCGGTGCCTCTGCTCGACTGGCACTGGCCTCCTGCTTGTCATTTGCACCCACCACCCCACAATTGGAGGTCGCGCTTTCAACCACTACGCCCCGAAACTTTGGAACACTTTCCCTCAATCCCTCCGCCTTGCCCCCTCCCCTTTTTCAAGTCCCGCCTGAAAACCTTCCTAGTTAACCGTACTTACGGCCATCTCCCCCCTCCCTGGCTTGGAGTCAGGCTCCGCCATTGTTAAGCGCTCTGAGACGCTACGCTGCATGGAGGGCGCTATATAAGTGCAAATTGTTGTTGTTGAAGTCAACTCTGAAAGATAATTTTGGAGTTCAGACCGATTTTTTTTGTTCAACAATTTGTCAAATTCTGGATGCTCTAAAATCCTACATGAAGTAATCCACCCCTCTCAGCTCTTATTGATAGTTGTGTTCTGCTAGTGGGTATTTTCTGATTACCTTGCTGTCCCTATAAGATATGCAAACGAACAAAAAAGGAGCACGCTTTGTTTAGGAACATTGCAGTTGCTTTCTTGCACAAGAAATATTTTGAAAAGCATGCTGACAGCTAGCTGCTTTATATGTTGAAAAGCAATTGGTGAATACACATGTTGAACGGATGAAGTTATTTCATACAATGCTATAGGGCAAAGAGGGCAGAAAAGTGACACATTGACAGATTTACAGAAAACTCCGGTGTTTCAATTACGGGCGGAAGGAATACTTGGACTGCTCTTTCTTTTCATCTGGGGATGAAAATTTGCCAACGTGTCTGCCTCCGTATCTCCTGAAGCTTGACCTCTGCCAGTTCCCGATCGTTTAAACAGTTTTGATGCCACTACAAGTGATGACACATGGGTAATAGGCAGCAATTGGAATGTGTCATGCTTCACGGACCGGGCCCATCACAGCTGAAGCTATGGGAGCCTCTGTGTGGTCGGCAAGTTAAATTGAAACTGAAGTGGTAATTGAAATCAGGGCCTATCACAGTAATGGGACTGTCACATAGTGATCTAAAATATTAATTTCCTAATCATGGACAAATGATTGGACAAGATCACATGCCAGCCCGTGACTCCAAGGGCCTGACATTTTGGCCAGAGCCACAGTTCTTTTGTGATTTGCCTCTTAAAAACTTGGCAACATTCAATTGAAAGAAATTAATGAACAGGGATCCAGAACAGGAAGGTCAGGGGAAAGGTGTTTTTTTTTACTTTCTGTGTTGATAGTGCACAAGTTGCTTTTGATTATTTACAGGGAAAAGGCACAAAATGAATTACCACTTGAATTACTACATAATAGAAAGTCAATGGGGTTATATTTAAGGGTCGGATGGCTTAAAAGTTGCTGTCATTATAGGGTTGGCTAGTTTGCTGATCTTTTTAGTAAGAACTTATAAATTTATTGAACTAATTTTACACAATTTACGATTTGTCATTTACTTTTAAATGATTAACAGAGCACTTTGATTCTGCATCCCTCTGAACTGTTACACCTTTGACTTTAAACGGTTGTGGCGATTGGGCTATTTAAAACTGTATCTTCTCTGTCTGAACTAATGTCAATGTTTTGAGGCATCTTTGCCACCAATGCTGCAACAAGAGTTTTGCTGAGCTGGGTGTCTTAAGGAGAGAGAATATTCTAAGGGCGGTACATGGTTAGAGCACTCGCCTTGCAAGTGAGAGGACCTGGGTTCAAATCCCAGGTCGGGCGAAATGTTAGACAAATTTCCTTTCTCCGCATGACTCTGTTTACCAATCAATAAATGGGAACCCGGCTGCTCTTCAATCTGTGGGTAATAATCCCTTCAATAAATAAATACAAAAATAAATATAATAATTTGGTCACTCAATTCACGACTGATTGTGGGACACTGCTGTGCGCAATTGGCTGCGGTGTTTCGCCCACAAAATATACAGTCCATTCACTTTACAGTATATTCTGTGAAGGACTTTGAAACGTCTCGAAGACCTGATAAAGCGCTATATGAAATGCAAGGATTATTATTATTATTTCTCTACTCATTCCCAAGTAGACTCAGCAAAGACCAGTGATCGGACCTAGGACCTTTGTGGTCTATATTCCCAGTAGATACTGCATTTACCATTTAGAAACCTTCAGAATATTTATTTTATGTTCTGTTTGCCTGTGTTACATAATTGAGAGTATTTTAATAGAATAATATCCTGTTATAGAAAAAAGTTCCTTTGAGCAAACTGGTTTAGAAGCAGAATAGCTATGACGTTTGTCAAGAACTAAAAGAATATTTCAGGTTTTCAAAACACATACTTTGGTTGGTTTTTAAGACATGAGAGGAAAATTATGAATGAAAAATTATGAATTTAAAATAACATTTGTTAAAGATTTGAATTGGAGGCACAAACAGGAATTTCAATTTTGGAGGTGAACAGAAAATCAAAATACGTCTTGTTTTTTGTAGTGCAAGATATTCCTGAAATTAAGTTTAAAAACAAATGATAGTTTTGTTAAATAGTTTGGTGCAGAAACTTTTTCTACAGTGCACAAACTATGGGATTTTTTAAAATTGAATTTTGTTATCAGCCATTGATATGGTTATGGGAACAGATAACCTGACATGAGATGGAGTGATAACCAGCTGGAAATCTGCCTGAGACCTCTCCTTATAATGCTATCGCCTCATGCAGTGCTACGTGATCTGTGTTCTACATTCTGCAGTCTGTGTTCCTTATGCGCTGATCTGACCTCTTGTGCCCCATTACAGAACGTCTCAATACCTTTTTAACTGGACCTTCGGTCACTCTCTTGCTCTCACCTTTCCTGCCTTTCAGCCCTCCTGATTCCAACCCCCAGCTCGGGTGCACATCCTTGACTGTCCACTGTTTGGGATGTCCTCCCGAAGGGAAGGGCGCTACGATAATGTAATTTGTTGCTGCAGATTTTATTTATAGTGAAACTAGCTGTACCCGTTGCAACTACGCTCGCAACCAAAGGATCCAATATGGAATGTAGATTGACACAGACAGACAGACATTTCATCTTTATCTATAATCATCTGGGAGGACTCCTGTGGGAGGATTCCTTTTGGGAGGACTCAGTGGGAGGACTTTGCGCTTTACAAATGTAATTTTGTTGTTGTTACCGCGGATTAGCTTTGTTCGTGTTCTTTATTTTGTTCCCTCCACTTGGCTACGTGCGTCCTCTGTGACCAGGATACCACTGCAGCCACCAAGTGTACTGCAGTGTGTGTGTACGTACGTAGGTGCTCTGTAACGCACAATGCCACAGCGCCACTTTGACTTGGCAGCCACCAGGTGTAACTGCAGCAAAAAACGTAGAACTGAAAATTAACTCATGAACGATAGGAGATGCCTGAAAACAAATATACCCATGTCACTCTGAGATATTAGACCTTTCCAATGAGGTATAAATCATGTCACTACGTCAATCGGTTATTGAGATCCTTCTTAGAAGCGCAGACCAACATCGTCGTTTTATTAGTGTGTGTGTGTATATATATAAAGATAATTGTGACGTGATATAGAAGATTAGGATTCGGCAGATTTTTCACAGTGTTTTTTACGAATGAGAGGGGGCTCAAATTCTACTTTCAATTTCTTTGGAATCGTTTTACCCAGTGGATGTCAGCGGAGCTATGAAGAAATGCAAAGAATTGAGTGTTTATCTGTAAAGGGGGGTTCAGTCAGGGTACACCATAAGATTCTCAAGGCAAGGTGAGAGAAAATTGGTGAAGCTTTGGTTAATATTTTCAGGAGCACTGTACCTAAGGACTGGACAACAGCAAATGTTATCCTGTTCAAAGATGCAGTAAGGCATGAGATTAGAAATTATAGATTACTTCACCTGGCAACTGTAGTGGGAACAATACTTTTAAGAGTGTTATCCTGGGTGCTATCAGTCATCAAATCTAGAGCCATTGGCTATAATGGGAGTCAACATAGATATAGAAGTACTCATGAATCTGCTGGAATTTTTTGAATGAATAGCTAAACTAATATGTACGAGGGCTATCTAGCAACATTAGAAAATATTACAGAAGATGCATATTTTCAGTGCGGAAGCATTTTATGACACCTATTCATATGTCCATTATTGGACACCCATAGATCCTGTCAGTTCTGTAATCCAGAAGAGTTAGTAAATGCCATGAGTTAATAAATTATCTTGTGTTTTCTACAGCATTTGACAGAAGAAAAGCCTGATGGTCTGATTAATGAAGCAGCAAGGTATATTTTCCTAAATAATAATTCGATGGAGACAAACACCTATATCAATGCTATGAAGCAATTATAGCTACTCAAATAATAATAATAATAATAATGTTCGAATGTCGGTGGGGAATCAGTTTAGAGAGCTGGAAATTTGCATGTTAAATGCTTACTTGCCCTGGGTAGCTGAGTATTTTTAAATGAAATTAATTTTGTAGGTAATCATCTCCTGCTCTCAGCCCCCTTTGGACCCAATACTTCTTGGCTCAGGCTTTTAATCTGAACTGACTCTTTGTCCCTCGATCGGGATCGCAGCCTGACCTGATTCCATGCTGCTGGCTCAGGATCTAAACCTGATTTCATCCATGTCCTTGGCTCAAGATCTTAACCTGACCTGGCTCATTGGCCCTTGCTTGGAATCTTAGCCTCTCTAAGTTAGATGCTCCTGACTCCCACTATGTTCAATCTATGTTCAATCTATGTTCAATCTATGTTCACTATGTTCAATCTATGTTCTGCCCTAGCAGAAGTAGAAAAGTGCACTCTTGTTGAAGTAAAGGTGCTCTTCTGAGGTAGAGGATAGAGCTTAATTGTTTGGGCACAGGCTTGTGGTTAGGAAATAGAGGGAAGGTACTGGAGAGGGAATTAGGGTGGGGGGCTCATGTGGAGTATAAAGACTAGTTGGATCGAATGGCCTATTTCTATGCTGTAGTATTCTATGCAATTCTTTGCAATTGTGCTGTTGTTTCTTGTTTGGGAAGACTGGTTGAAGCCATTAAAAGGAGTGTTGCACTCCATACATTAACATTCAATTAGTGAACCCAAAATTATTCTGAATTTTACTTTTTTTTAATAGAAAGTTACAGAGCACACACATTATAAATGTTATATTTTATGACCTTTGCTTATTTTCCATGTACGTATGTTTCCCCTTCTTCCCACCCCCAAGCCCCCACAAAAACTACTATATCTACCCGTGGAAAGGAATGATACCTGTACATTTGGATTTTTGCACTGTCCATCCAAATTGTGTCCCGGTTGACTTTCATTTGCTTTTGATTATAACCCGATGTTCTGTTTATTACTATGTTTAGGCAGATTGCCCTGGGTGACCTCATTATAGTTAACAAAACTGATCTGATTCACCAAGAGGAGCTGGATGAACTAAGGCATATTGTAAGGTAAGGGAGCTGATATTCTATTTACAGGGTGCTGATTCTCAACTACCCTGTGGGTAAACGCACTGAGAATTGCTGTACTGAGCCCTGGAGATCAGAAGGTGCCAGGTTCGATCATTGACCTCAACCAGGAAGTACGTCCTTGGACATGGGAAAAGAGAAATTGTGTCCTCATCACTATCGAGTGAATCCTGCTGGGAGAAGTTTGCATGTGATACAGCTCATAGTCGAATAGTCTTAGAAATAAACTCTGACTATATTTACTCTTTTGGGATGGGAGATAGTCATACATTATGCTAAGTGAGGTGGGAGAGGCGGAGTCCATTGTGGGTTTCAAAAGGGACGCAGACAGGTACATGAAAGATAAGACGAAGGGGTGTGGGGAGAGAGTGGTCAGTGAGATTGAAAGAACAGCTTGCTCTGAGCCAGTTGTATTATTTATAGATTAAAATATTTTTGTATTGATCAACTGTGGTAAAATGTTACTAGTATTGAGAAATGCAAATTGAACAGGCCTGATTTGTGGCAGCTGATCACTGCAGTACAGATAATGTGTACTATTTTAATATCAATGGATGGGATGGGACACCAGATGATAGCATTGAGACTATTGTAAGTTTGAAGATTTCTTATTGAATGTTGCTTGGTGTGTTTGATTGTGCGTATTTAATGCTATGTGTTTAATCCTGTGTGACATTCTCAATGTTTCTATATTTTAGGTCAATCAATGGACTTGCTAAAATAATTGAAACACAAAGATCAAGGTGAGCAAATTGTGTATGTGTGCTTTTCGGGGAGTGTTCAAGGAGTTCAGATACTTCACGGTAGTTTTTTCACTCTTTGCTGAGTTGGCATTTAATTTTTAATTAAATTTAATGTCTCAAGATCTTCCTCTTTGACCATGGCTTCAGCCATCCTCCCATCTCCAGCCCTCTTGATCCCAACCTCCATGCAAATCCTTATCTGTCCACTGCCTTGAGATGTTCTTCCGACGTGAAAGGTGATGTACAACTGCATTTTGTTGTTGTTTGTTGTTTTTATTATTGTATTTAATTTCATTCAGATTCTTCTTTATAAATAAGATATATTTTGCTAACTTTTTTTCCCTCCAATATTGGATGTTATATTTTGAGCAGAGGAGTATTCCCCTGAGACTTTCTATATTATATTATGATGACTTTGCATTTCAATGGTTATGTTTAAGAAAGTAAAGTTCTTTAAATTTCCACCTATCTCCCTTCCCTTCCTTTATGACCTACAGAACCTGTTCCCCACTATTCAGCTGAGAATATAGAATGATCATCTCACAGCTCATGTTAATGCTGCTGTATGATTGATTGTCAATAGGTGCACTTGATTCCTGGCACAACCAGATTACAAGTTTTCTCGGATTCACACTGTAAAATTTTGCACCATCTAGAGGCGCCGCTTACAATTTACAAGACGGGTACATGTTAGTGGGCTTGTCTTCATGACCAGGAACTGTCTTATGAAGTATGTTGCTGTTTTTCATTATTTGGAAAAGAGCATCCTAAAGTTTTTTTTCACTCTTTTTAAAGACTAAAAGTAAATGATTCACCACAAGATTAGTACAAGATCAAGAAGACTCTTCATCCCATCTAATATCATTGTATCAGCCTCGCTCAGTGGTAGTACTCTCGCCTCTGAGTCAGAAGATTGTGGGTTCAAGCCCCACGTCAGGACGTCTGAATCTTCTAATCAAAAATAGCTTTATTGACCATAAGACGTAGGAGCAGGAGTAGGCCATTCGGCCCCACCATTTAATAAGATCATGGCTGATCTTCTAACCTAATTCCATTTACCCGCCCTAACCCCATATCCCTTAATCCCTCTATCCTTTAGAAATCTATCAACCTCAGTTTTGAATATGTTCAATGACTGAGCATCCACAGCCTTCTGGGGTAGAGAATTCCACAAATTCATTACCCTCTGAATGAAGAAATGTTTCCTCAACTCAGTTCGAAAAGGCTGACACTTAATCTTGAGACTATGACCCCTAGTTTTAGATTCTCCAACCAGGGGAACAGTCTCACGGCATCTACCCTGTCAAGACCCTTAAGAATCTTATAGGTTTCTATAAGATCACCTCTAATTCTTCTATATTCTAGAGAATATAGGCCTAGTTTACTCAACCTGTCCTCATAGTCGACTCCCTCATCCCAGGAACCAACCTAGTGAATCTATGCTGCACCCCCTCTAAGACGAATATGTCCTTTCTTAAATAAGGAGACCAAAACTGCACACAATATTCTAGGTACGGTCTCACCAAGGCCTTATACAACTGCAGCAAGACGTCCCTACTCTTGTACTCTAACCCTTTTGCAATGAACGCCAACATGGCATTAGCCTTCCTAGTTACTTGCTATACCTGCATACTAACTTTTTGTGACTGGTGTACAAGGACTCCCAAATTCCTCTGAACACTAACACTACCTAGTCTCTCCCCCTGTAGAAAGTAATCTGCTTTTCTATTCTTACAACCTAGGTGAATAACTTCACACTTCCCCACGTTATACTCCATCTGCCACCTTCTTGCCCACTCACCTTGCCTGTCTATTTCCCTTTGCATTCTTTGTGTGTCATCCTCACAGCTTACGCTCCCACCTATCTTTGTATCGTCCGCGAATTTAGATATGTTAAGTTCTATTTCCTCATCTAAATCATTGATATAGACTGTAAATAGTTGAGGCCCAAGCACTGATCGTTGTGGCACTCCACTAGTCACATCTTGCCAATCTGAAAAGGACCCGTTTATCCCTACTCTCTGTTTTCTTCCTGTTAGCCACTCTCCAATCTGTGCTAATTACCTTTAATTCCATGGGCTCTAATCTTATGCAACATCTTATTGCTATCTGATTGGCCCCCAAAATGTTCCTCTTGCTGAAGGTTGACTGATTCAGTTGAATTGAAATTCCTCATGGGGTCCGCTCCATGCTGGAACCCCGTTGCTTTTGTAGTGAAAGTGTTCTTCATTGAACAGTCTCCAAGTCTCCATTGTGTTAACTTTTATGGATTACTGTCATGTTTTCTTTGTTTTGTTCAGGTGGCAGAGGTTAAATCACTCAGCCAGTAGACTTAAGAATTTATGTTAGAATATCCTTCATTATTAGTCCTTGTACCTGCTTCAAAACATGAAAAACTTCATCAACCATGTGCACTCAACAGAGATTTCATGAAAACACATTGTAATCTTAATATGATCCAAATTTAGATATTTGTATTGTACTGAAAAGGAATTTCCCATATGTGCCTGGCTGATACCAGCCTGCTCAGCACAGACTGAGACCATAGTGAGACCATAGTATATGTATGTAACTCAATGCCACAGCAAGGGATGCCTTACCCACCAGACTATTGGAGAAGTCCAAATCTAGATTTTGTACCCATGTGGGGAACATACATATTGCCAACAATTTCCCTGATAAAATCTGTCATGCCTATCTGTGGGGTATTGTGTGTAAATTGGCTGCTGCATTCACCTGCAAAAGAAGTTTCAATACTTCACAGTGAAGTATGTGCAGCACTTTTGAGATGTCCTTCTGACATGAAAGCTGCTATATCAAACATAAAATGTGAAGATTATTATTATCATTAATAGAGGACAATCCAGAGTTGCTCCCAAACTAAGACTTTTTCAGGTATGAAGAACTGCTCAAACCTATTGATTTACAAATGCAGTTGTCAAGAAGTACAAGTGAAATGAGCTTCATTAAATTGTTTTACATCAGTTGGAAAGTGTTACGCACTGAAATGCGTCTTCTTGCAATCGATTGTTGCTGTACACTCAAATAATACAGGCACAAAATAGCAGAAGCTTTTCAGATTTTAAGTACAGTGGAAATTCACTTTATGGTCGTTAACATGGTCAGTTCACAAACATGGCCAGTGTTTTTGCATCTTTTGATTTCAGCATTGTATAGTACAGCAATATAAACTCACTTGTGAGGTCAGTCAGCTAATATCAAAATTCCTCAGACTGCTTGCTGACCTTGATTGTGAGTTTCCACTGCATTTATCAAATGCAAGGATTATTATTATTATTTAAAATTAAAACTAATTATTTTCTGTGTTTTGGGTTTGTCTTTTCTGAATCAGTTGTCTGAGAATATATGCATGCTGGCCAGATTTCAGGATACATTTTGAATTATCTCCCTGCCTGAACACTTGGCATTCTGTGAATGTTTTAGCCTTTTCTCAACAAAGAGATTTATCGAGTTTGCTGGAGCTCAGTGTTACTCATAAGATTTCCCCGTTCACATTTAATTTGAAACTCGTAGGAGCCTAAATATGAGTTCTGGGAGCCCTGTAGAGAGCATACAATACAGACACAGTATGTTTATGGCTATTCACTGTACGCATGAGCTTTCATCTTGTGAAAGGATTTAACGAACAGTTGATGTAATATTGTTTTTGATCATTGCAAGGAATGTATTTGACATGTTCCCTTAGCAGCAGTTCCGCTGGTGTGCCTCAAACAAACGCATTAGGATGTGGTTTTTTTCCTGAAAGTTTTTTTTTGCTTGCTGACTGACTGCGAAGCAAAACCAATCGGATCAGCCATTGCGGCTACTGTCTGCTACCTTCTCTTACACGATGAACCTTTCAACATAATAATAATAATAATGAATCTTGCATTTCATATAGTGCCTTATCACGTTGTTAAGATGTCTCAAAGAGCTTCACAGAACATACTGTAAAGTGAATTGACTGTATATTTTGTGGGCAAAACACGACAGCGCATTGCACACAGCAGTGTCCCACAAACAGTTGTGGATTGAGTGACCAGATTTATGTATGTAGGTAGGTAGGGATTATTACTCCTGGAAAACGATCTTCCAATCGACTAACAACCGGGTTCCTACTTACTGCTAGGAGGTGTGTGGAGTAAGGAAACTCGTCTTAAGGTTTTGCCCTGTCTGTAATTGAACCTGGGTCCTCTTGCTTGCAAGGAGAGTGCCCTAACCAATACGCTGCAGGACTCCACACTCACTGAGCCAGATGATGTTTTACTCCTTCTGGCTCTGAGTTTATTCATGGAGTTGTTGGAACATAGAGGAAAGTTCCAGGTTTAGTCGCAAATATGAGCTGAGCTAAAGGATAGTGATTTGCTCTTGTGTATTCACTTACCACCAAGGTCAACATTGTACTGGTTTAATGCATTTCATACCTGCTTATTTGTGTAGCAATCCAAATGTAATGCAAGGATTATTATTAATATACCATTCCCTGCATCAGTAGGTGAAATAAAAAAACAACAATCAACAAAACCGTGCATTTATATAGCATCCTTCATGCACCAGCGTCTCAGAGCAGTTAGTGCAGGTCAGATCAAATGATGCAAAATGGACTTTCCTTAAAATCACGTGACCTAACGAGTCTCCCAGGACTCTCTTGCCTGATCCTACATGGACACAGACTTGCCAAACATTGAATAAACCAACCCAACTCCACAAGCAAACAAAGGAGGAAGTTTTGCTTTTGTGGCAACAACTTCACCTGAACCGGTTTACCACCTAGTACACTCTTTGTACTGTGTTTGTGTCTCATGGTAATTTTTTACTTTTGGTTTTCTTGCCTTTCAGAGTTGATCTTTCAAACGTTCTTGATTTGCACGCCTTTGACAGCCAAACTAATGAAAAGTATGTATTTGGATCTGCAGTCATCATCTTCCAATCATTTGTTACAGGTTGATTTTTTTTCACAAAGAAAATTTCATGACAAATGAAATTGGTCATTGAGATAAATATTACAGTACATTTATTTTGCCTATGTTTAGGCCTTTTTGCCAGATTAAGGAGATTTAAGATAGTGTTTATTTGTCATTTTGAGTTTTCTTTTAAACAAAGTATTATTTCTGCAGCTATGCTTTAATGGGTAATTTGTTCTGCATAGTTTAATTTTGTTTTAATTGCTGGTAGCCTAGTGATCAGTTCACTATTTTTCTCTCGGCTTGCGCTTCTCTTCCTTACCCTACCCTCGGTCATTAAGATGACTTGGGTATCCAACTGAAGTACATATAATGGGGTCAGATTTTTAGTCCATGTGATATTCATCACCACAAATGGACTGGAGATGGAACCTCCATACAGGCTCACTTTTGAAGTCCAAGATGTTGAGTCTGTGATGTTGAACTATGTATGGACTTAAGTGCTCCGAAACACTATCCCCTGTGAAGGGTGCTGTATAAATGCAACTTGTGTTGTGTTTGATCAGCAGTTAGCAGGATAAAAGCTTTTTTCAGTGCCTTGGGACATCCTCCCAATGTGAAAGGCGCTCTATAAATGTAACGTGTTATTGTTCAGTAAGCAAATGCCTTCCTCACCACCCACCCTCCACCCCACCCATCCATCCTCATATTCTGTAAACCCCCATTGAAAGGCTGTTAGCTGGAAGTTCAGCCGTGTGGACACAGCTATTAAACTTCACCATTAATAACAACCCTGGAGGGGGAGGAGGGGTTTCTTCCCCAAGATGATGAATATCACAAGGTCTTCAGATTTTACTCCAATATACACCTCTTACACAGATGATTGCAATAGCACCAAATCCATTCAAAGGACCTTTAATAAGGAAATACAAATTTAATACGATTCGATGCATAAGTGGCAGGAGAGCTACGCTTGGAGAAACTTTGCTTTCAAGGCTCTGTGTCGTACAAGCACACAAATGGTGACTTGGCCGGGTTTATAAATCCCATTCCCATTTATATGCTTGCTGATGGTGGGGAGAAAAGGCAGAGTGAAACTGCTCTACAAGCCTGTTTTTCACAGCTTGGTAATAAAAACGAAGGGGGCAGGGAGAAAAAAATCTCTTAGGAGCTTTAGTTGTTTTGATGGATTAAACTTGGCTTTCCCCCACTGAGATCCATTCAGCAGACCTCCACTCAGCAGCCCATTCACATATACACTACTTGCATGCCCAGCGTCACCAATTTACCCCCTCAGAGTCATTCACAAACCACTTGGTTGCTTTGTTTGAAGTTACCACCTACTCATTCTCACCCCCCGCGCCTGACCATATTTCACAATTACAAATAAAGTGTAATCTGTTGGACAATGTTTACCTGCAAGGCATCGCTCAGCAGGCCAAAGCACTGCTGCTGACCGACACAAAAAGCATTGCTCCTGGAGCACGTTTTCCTTTCTTCCACTAGTCCTTGCAGTGTGGCAGTGGATTAGCTGCTGGATGCTAAATTTCTTTTGGAGATGTAGCTAAGCCCAAACATCTGCAGCTTGGAGGGTGAGGGGTTGGTGTCCAGATTTCAGGGTTCCCTTCGAGGTGTTAATTAAAACTCCAAACAGCAGTCACCAAACTTCTTTGATTGCCTGTAAACAATGGTACAAGCAGCACAACAAATAACCACTGAAAGGCTGCAGCTTTGTCCTGATCTTAATGCTGCCCTCTCGACTTAATATGCATTAATGCTCGTGACTGAATGCAGAAGGAAGATCAAATTCAGCAGTAACGTGAAGAACGATTGCTTCCACATTCACTTCCAGAGATGAGTTAGACCGCCTTGTTTAAAATGCTTGCAGTTAAATTCACATTTGGCTTCATTTGCTGTCATTGTAACATTAAGTCGCATGATCTCCATGTGTAATTGTGCTGTGTGGAGGATTGACCCCAGTCAAAAGCAAGCCTCTGTTCTTTCTCACTGTAAACAGCTATGGATCTGCGAGCAGCGTCTGACCATGGTCACAGAATGAGAGGTTGTGGTGAGGCAGGTAGCAGTCCCACTGTTTTGTGGACAAGTAGCAATATCCTGCATCTGTGACTGTTGCATCTGTGTGGCAGAGCTTTTCCAATGGTTCAGTCTCTGCTAAAGTAAATTTGAACCTTGCAGATGAGAAGATCCCATGGGCACCAGTCGCCCTCAAATAAGTAAACTCTGACAGCTAATTTGATCTTGATGGTGGCGTTGTGGGAAAATAGGACACCTGTTCTCATCAAGCATATACATGTGTCCAGCAATGGTCATTGGATAGCGATCAGGAAGGGGAGGACTGGCTGACTTTTCATCACCTCTCACAAGTCTCGGACACTGCTGCCAATTGGAGGCTTCCAATTACTCTCAGCTGAGATCAAGCATAGCTCTAAGCTTTTTATGCATGTGCATGTGCAGAAGCCATAGTTAATTCCTCCTTTGGTAGGAAGATTTGTGCTCACTCCTTTATCCGTTTGTTTAGTTTGCAGGAAAAGTTTTGCCACATGCAGACAACCCGACCTCACCTTGACAAGGTAAATGGCTGTTATGAACTGCTATTTGAACAAATTTGCCACCAGATATGGTCCACTTATTGGTTTACTTAATTACTTGTCAGATTAAAAACAATATTGACTGGATTTAGCTATTAACAGCCCATTGCTTTAGAAATTTAATTAAATAAAACTTGTCTGCTTGCTGTAATTATTAAATGTATATACTATGTGTGTGTGTAGAGAGATATATATAAATAATATATATATATAAAATATATATTGTAAGGTGTGAACCTGCCTCAGTTAGTAGTACTCTTGCCTCTGGGTCAGAAGATTGTGGGTTTAACTGTGTCAAGATTTTGAACTCTCACTAGTCTGACTGCATTGTTGGAGGTACCACATTTCAGATGAGACGTTAAATCAAGGTCCCCTCTGCGTGTTCAGGTGACTGTTAAAGTTCCCATGGCATAATCTGAAAGGAAAAGAGTTTATCCTAGTCAATCACTTCATGGCCGTTTGCGAAAAGTTGCTGTGTGGAAACTTGCTGCTGTGCTTGCATACAAATACACAATCACTATTCTTTACAATAATCTCTGAAACCCTTGAGACTTTTCAATATAAGGCACTATATCAAATGCAAGGTGACTTATATGTAATACATACCCAAGAATAGGAAAAAAGCAAATAATCTAGCCACTTCAATCTTTATACCTATAGAAAGTTAGCATGGAACAAATAAATAAATCCCTTTAACTCTGCTTAATTTCTTACTGAAAAGGTTATGGAGCACAGGGACTAGGCATGGATCTGTTCTTGACAACTATTCTCAAGCAAGATTAGGAGAGATTCTGAACTATTCCCCTCCGTCACAGTAGCAAAATACATTGCATCCTGAAATTCACCAGCCTCAAATTGAACTCAAACCTCAGTTAGCTCAATGAGTATGTAGCACTTTTTAATAATGATGTGAAATGCAAACTTGGAATAAGTTCCTTTATGATTGTGGTTTCTACCAGTCTCACTGCATCGTTTCTGTGAGGCATCTGAAGCCTGGAGTGTCTCATGATATCAACCTTAAAACCACCATCTTTAAAATGTAAGATCTTGCAGAGTTTTGGAAAAGTTTTAATTTTGAAGCCTATTTTGTTTTTCTGTAGATATTTTAGTAACTGGCTTCCAAATTAAGACTGAATTTTAAAAAATTCTCAATTTTTTTACTAAAATTTTAATACAATGAGCTTGAAGCTGCAATTGTAAGAAATTTCAGGTCATTAACACCTGTACAGGCGTCTTGAGAAGCAATGTTTTATTGGAACTGCTGGTCTATTCAGAAGTTCCAAGGTTCCTTTGTGGAGGTTCGTGTATTGAATTACAGAATATCACCAGTGAAATATTTCTGAGGTAACACTGCAGAAAGGACTGGAGAACCTTCGCAAATACAAACAAGATTTTACAAGTCGGTGCCAGGTTGGCTCAGTTGTTAGCACACTTGCGTCAGGGTCAGAAGATTTTTGGTTGAGCCCCACACCAGGAATTGAGCTCATAATCCAGGCTGGCATTCCATCGCAGTACTAAGTGAGCACGGCGATGTTGTAAACAAATGCCACTTCCATTCTGTATAAAGCCTTATCACGCCGAAACGTTTCAAAGTGCTTCACAGCCTTTCTGTAAAGTATGGTGGCTGTTTATTTGTCGTGGACGCAACAGCCAATTTGTTCACAGCAAGCTCCTGTAAACAGTTAGGAAGTAGCTGAACATTTTTTTTCTCTCTCTGGTGGATTGTTGACCAGGACACCAGGAGATACTCCCTGCTATTTCTGAATAGAGAAAAGGAATCTTTGATGTGCACCTGAACAGGCAGATGAACCTTGATTTAACGTTTTATCTGAAGGACAGCACCTCCGACAATGCAGCGCTCCCCCAGCAACAACAGCTGTAGTTTTGTTGTATCCTTCAAGTAGGATGGTATGTTGGAGCATTTCATGGAGATGAGGTCAGAGCAAGGGAGGAGAGGTAGAGGGACAGAGTTCATGAGATTTGGCGTACAATTGCTGAAGACTTAGCCACTAATGGTAGCGAGGAGGACATAGTTTGCTGAGCTGCTGAGTGTATGAGCAGAAGAGTGGGTTAATAACAATCTGCATAATAATAATCCTTGGATTTGATACGGCACCTTATCACATTGTTGGAACATCTCAAAATGCTTCACACCTTACATTGCTGCTAACACCCAAGTAGTGTGAGGCCAGACCATAGCTTTAAGAACATAAGAAATGCTAGATGAAAAAAGACCAAGGTCCATCCAGTTTACCTTCCACCTTCCTGGTGGTCGCATGCACATATGTCCCAAACTACCTATGTACTATATCCCATAGAGTCATTTCCTGGCTTTATCTCACTGCAGTCGGGTCTAGGTAGCACCATGTTGGTTACTCCAGATCTCTGCCGCACCCCCCCCCCCACCCCCCCATTCCTCCCTGTATCTGTCTTTCAGATAGAATTCCATCTTAAAACCCATCACTTCAACCACAGCTATGATCACACCCCCTGACCCTTCTCCCTTACTTGATGCCTGACCCTGCCACTGTGAAGCGTTCTGAGATGTTACTCCACGTGAAGAGCGCTGTATCAATACAAGTTGTAGTGGTTTGTTACAGTGCAGTTTAGTAACCAACTTGATGAAAGCGAAGTATATTAGAATGAGGTTGGGAGAGTGAGTACTGCCTGAGGATTGATTTAATGCTTGGGTCTGTTTGCTGTACGCTCAGCAAGGCTGAAGCAACTTCAACATGAAAATGCCTCCCGAGTGTGCTCTTGCTTTTCCCAACACTGATTCGACTTCATTGATTCACTCCCAAAGCTATCACAAATCAGAAGTCAGACCTCAGATCTTTTCTGGGCCAATTCAACCTCCACCGCATGCTGTGCAACAACCGACTGAGTGGTGCTGTTATCTACAGATCTCATGGGGGTTTAATGCAAAACTCTTTTTTCTTTATTGCAGAGCATCATCACGGTTACGTTTGAATGCTCAGGCAGCATTCTTGAAGAAGACTTAAACCAATACCTCCAGGTATGCTTTATTGATGACTCTTGTTTTCCCCTTATGTTTGTGCTCAGCAGAACCTGACCTTCATGTGAAAAGACTTCCTTTGGCCAAAAGTTGCTCCGGAATAATCAGTAAACTCATTAAATTGGTGCTTGTGGTACCTTCCACTTTGCAAAATTGGCTGCCATATTTACCAGCAAAAAAACAGTTATTGTATTTAACAATTGCCTTGAAACACTTTAAGACATTTTAGTGTTATAAGACTCAATAAAAAATTATTTTTATGTGGTTAACAAAATTATTTCAGTTGCCACAGCAGTGTCTTTCCTTGTGTGCTTTTTTATTTCGTCCATCTTTCTTGCTCATCTTTGAATCCAGCTGTTCTTATTGCATGTAGAACTGGCAATGTAGTGAGATTTCTGACCAAACTCAAGGTATGTATTGAGTGACACAGATTGAAGAGCATTTTAATGATTTGGGAGTCATTTATTTCTAAGAGTGAGCTACATTGAAATAGGTTACATTTCGAAACATGGTGTCTCGCTCCAGAAAGAGCCAAATGTGGTCTCTCAAATGGATACCAATATATTGATGCTTTGTTCATCGCCCCCTATAAGAAGAGAAAATAAGCCCCATGTTTAGCTTTAGCTAATTAATATCAGGAAGTAAAAATAGAATATGGCTACGGGTAGTTGGACGGGATTGAAAGATTAAATGAAATCTTATCCCAAAGGTGTATGCTCTATAAATGCTTGCTCCTGTTTCATTTAACATTATTTTGCAGAGGTCAAGTTAATCTTTTGCTATCCAATGTCACTGCTGTTCAAATCGCGGTGCACTAAGGGCTCCAGGTTAAAAAGTAATTTCATCTGTGGAGCCTTCTGTTCATCACTGTCAGCATGTTCCTTACCACTAGTGAACAGAAAGCGTGGAATATGGAACATAGTGTCTTCTTCAACACCTAGAAGTACCGGTACTACCAACTGTGGTGTGCGTTAAGGATGTAGCTAGACTTGAGATTCAGATAACCTTGATGAACTGCTCACGATTTCATTTCAGCCACTAAGTGTAGTACACTCCACTCATCGTGGAGTCCTGTAGCGTATTGGTTGAAGTACTCGCCTCGCAAGAGAGGACCGAGGTTCGATTCCTGGGCAGGGCAAAACCTTAGGCAAGCTCCTTACTCCACACGCCTCTGTTTACCCAGCAGTAAGTAGGAACCCGATGTTAGTCAATTGGTGGATCGCTTTCCAGTGGTAAAAATCCCTTAATATATAAATAAATAATAAAATAATAATTTGGTCACTCAATCAACAACTGCTTGTGGGACACTGCTGTGCACAATTGACTGCTGTGTTTCACCCACAAAATATACAGTCAATTCAATTGTTGTATATTCTGAGAAGCACTTTGATGTGATGAGGCACTATATCAAATGCAAGGATTATTACTTTCATTCCTTTGTAACACGCTGCATAAATAATGGTTGTACAAAAAATGATTTTTTGGTCAGTCGGGTGTCTGACCGACAGAGGGAACCCATCACCAATGCTTAAGAATTCCCAAACCAAACAGAGTTCCAGGCATCCCACCTACTCAATATATGGGAATTTCTGTGTGTAGGTAGGATGAATGGAGCTCTGTTTAGTTTAGACACTCTTTAGCATGGTGATGGGTTTCTGCATGTGTCAGACACCCAGCTGACCAAAAAAGACAAAAGAATTTATGCCATATTCACCTGTCTTTGGAGGTGGGAAGAGCAGCACGGAAGAGGAGCTGGTGACAATTGATTCTGAATTTTCTTTGTGCACTGGTGCTGGTTCATGTTGAGTTGAGCTGTCCGTAAGTGCGAGTTTCAGCACCAAATGCCCATGCAGCATTGGAATAACGCTATCGCGTTTCTACGGCTGTAATGTGCTCCAGGTTAGAACCTGTATGGAATCAGCACAGACACAGAATAAGATAGAGGGGCTGGTGACCAGTTGCCAGTGCCTCCACTTTTACACAGCTCCTCCAGCCTCTGTAGGGTTGAAAGCAGCAGGATCTTGCTGAGGTTCACACCTCCCAAATAATGCAGTTGTGATCTGATCAGTTGTAACCTGTGTGCAGCCTGAGGATGATGGTAATGTTCTCAGGCAGTTTGTGATGAGTTATGTTGCTCACAATTCCACTCAGCTCATTGTACATCTCATTCCCTTTACAGTTCCTCACTGTTTTATTTGTAAATAGGTGAAGGATACCATGTTCAGTGGGGCTGACTAAATTAATGTGACAGAAAATAATAAAAGGGATGTTTTGGTAATTTGCTGGCCGTTTGCTCCTTTCACATCCATAAAGATTCTTCAATTAACTATTTTGTAGAGGAACTGGACCTGTGACTGCAATAGCGTTGGTACTAAATTTAATTGTATGCAGCCTTGTGCAATGTCTTACTAGAAGCCTCTATCACTGCATCATAGGCTCAAAGCTATGTTTGTCTTCGCTTTCAGAATCTTTTGTGGGAAAAAAACATTAACAATAAGTCAGGCAACCCAATGGAAATAATACGTCTAAAGGTATGTTTGGACATTTTATGGCAATAAATGCGCAAAATGAAAGGGATAAATAGTGGAAGGCTTTGGTGTGTTGTTACCACTTCATGTTTGTGGAGTCCTGTAGCTCAGTGGTTAGAGCACTCACTTTGCAAGCGAGAGACCTGAGTTCAATTCCAGGCAGGGCGAAACCTTGGGCAAGTTTCCTTATTCCACACGCCTAATAATAATCACTCCAAAAACAATAATAAATTGGTCATTTTCAATCTACGACTGTTTGTGGGACATTGCTGTGCGCAATTGGCTGCCGCGTTCGCCCACAAATATACAGTCAATTCACTTTACAGTGTGTTCTGTGAAGTGCTTTGGGACGTCCTCCCGACGTGAAAAGCGCTATATAAATGCAAGGATTATTATTATTATGTTTAACTATGGTACTGTAGTGGAAGTCATCCTTTTAAACATCAAAAATATTGCTCACCTTTTAAGCAAGAGACCTAGAGATGCAGACGTGACCGTAACTGTATGAGTAACAGATCTGGAGATCTTAGCTGGGCAAGTATCATACTGCATGGGTTTTAAAAGTTAGAGCTGGGACTACACAAAGTGATGCTGACGATATAGTTCAAATGAAACATGAGTTAAATAGGAGAAAAAAGTGAGAGGTTGGCAATAAATTAGAAATCCAAATTTCAACTAGAGTCTTACTGGCTCTTTCAATTACCTAAACAGACAAGTGGGCTTCAGAATCCTAACATGAATTTATGTTATTTGTGTGTAGATAGGAGAATTGTATTCTGTTTTGTAAATAGGATGTAATTGTATGTAAAACTCTGAAATGTTGTTAATCATTTGGAATTTAAGGTAAACATATTGATCCTTGATAAATCCATTATTTCCCAGGCTCTTGTGTCAATAAAGGAAAAAACACAGCAGGTGATTGTCCAGGGTGTTCATGAGCTGTACGAGCAAGAAGAGACTTCTGTCAACTGGGAGTCAGACACTGAAAGACTCAACCGTTTTGTCTTTATAGGTAACCAGAAAGTGAAAATCGTATCCAGTTATATATGTTGCCTTTTTTTAAAGGGAGAGAGTTGGGGGAGTTGTGTGTTTTATTCAAATTTGAACCAGATAGTGAGTTGAAAGCAAAACTGAGACTTTTCAATGTAACTTGGTTTTGTAAAAGTTGGTTTAAAAAGTATCAGAATAATTCTTAATGGTTCAGTTGATGTAGTACTGAGACCAAAGGAACAGTAAGTTCCCATATTTAATGACAATTGTCCTCACTCTTCTGAGAGAAAGAAGGATGAAAATGATTCCTACTAAGTGGAAATACAAAAACATGGCGTCCAGGGTTTTTCACACTAGTGTGTTTTTATTCAGAGGTCTGGGGAGAGCGGTATTTCATAAAACATTTAACTACTTTTCTTAAATAAGGAAGAAGTGTGTTAGGGATACTATTAAGAGAAGGGAGTTTCTCCCAGTGTCCTGGCCAACAATCCTTCAAACTAAAATTGGTCACTCATTTCATGGCTGTTTGTGAGACATTGCTAGGCCCAAATTGGCTGCGAAAAAATACATAATCACGACACTTTACAGTGATTCCTGTGAAGTGCTTTGAGATGTTTTGATTAAGTAATAAGGCTCTATATCAATGCAAGAAATATATGCGCTTATTATTTGATCCTTATATTTCTTCTTTGAACTCTACAACACAGTTTGAGTACAGGACTTGCAACCAGCGGTCCTAGGTTTGAATCCTGATAGGCTTCACTTAGCCTTTCATCCTTCATCAATGAATAAATGAGTGCCATATCTTAGGATGTGGGGGAAAGTAGTATAGTGCAGTATCGCAGTATAATATCATCGTGCTTGGATGGGGAAACTAGGAGACTGTACAGTGCATCTCTCATACAGTGAACAGTGCCCATTGGGATAAACATGTTGCAAAATCTGCCCTCAACACTTCTTGCCGATCCCAATTTACACTGCCGAACCACCTTAGGCAAGTTTCCTTACTCCACACACACACACACACCTATGTTTACCTTGGAGTAAGTAGGAACCCGGATGTTAGCCGATTGGGGGATCACTTTCCGGGTATAATAATTCCTTCAGAAAAAATGTGGTCACTCAATCTGCGACTGTTTGTGGGACACTTGGCTGTGTGCACAATTGGCTGACGCGTTTCTCCCACAAAATATACAGTCAATTCACTTTACAGAATATTGTGTGAAGTGCTTTGAATCATCTCGAAGACGTGATAAGACGCTATATTATTACACAACAATCTTTTGTAATGGAGATTGATATACTAGGTAAATCCTCTCTCTTTATATTCATTATTCATGATTTTTGTTTTCTCATTGACATGACACATTATTCACATGTGGGAGTGATTTACTTACACTGTGTACTGTTCTGGATTTCTCTTCACAGGTAGAAACTTGGATAAAGAAATTCTAGAAAAATGTTTTTCTGCTGCTGTAATAAAACCAGGAGAGTCCAGCTGAGAATAAGAATGAAACATTAAAAGACACAAATTCAATTCAACTTCTGATACTTGTGAAAATTATTTTTTTCTCTCTCCATTATCCCCATTAGTCTGCACATCATCACTATGTCTCCTGCTCTAGCTGTAGAGTAGCATGCTCTGGGCTCTGAATTTCATAATTATGTAATTTGGACAAGGTTATATTTTCCCTTCATTAAATCTTTCAGAAAGAGAGCAACTACCCTAGAACTTTCATGTTTCTAACACAAAGCAGGACTTTGACTTAAAACAAAGTTAATATATTTTAATGGGAATGCTTGAAATTTATGTTGGTCTGCAAAAGAAGATGGGAGTGCCCTAATTGGATGCCATTGCACTTGGCTAGTGATCCAGGGTTCCACGATTATGATTTCAGTTCAGTGATCCTTCCAGCGTGTGTGTTGGTTTAAGCAGCCTTGGGAATCGCTTTCTTTACTTTTCTGAACTTCTTTAAGGAGAATTAGCTGGCCTCTGCACCAGCTCATGACATGTCAATACTCTGATTTAGCTAAATTCAATTTTAATTCGGAAGCGTTTTTCCCTGCTAACAAAACCCTGCAGAAAAATGGTTTCCAAAATTAAGATTAAAGCTAAGAATTCTCCAAAATTCTACATGATTTGAACTTTTGAAACCATGGTTTTAAGATTAGGACCAGGCAAAATTGAAGGCCCGAGGATCTCACTGAGGAATTTTGTGGTTGTGCCTGGAAGGATGCCAATGGGAGTTCTGTGTGTCTTGTTCTTCCAGCTGGAGGAAGGTGCATCCTTTCAGCAGCTTGCAAAGAGAAAAAGAACAGTGACAAGGTGAAAACTAACAACAGAGATGGAGAGAACACCAATCATGGTTAATTTGAATGAAATTGAAGGATACAACAAATGGAAGTGACTATTGTCACTTTTCTCCAAAAGGTGTTCTGGCAACCACTGCCGATCGCAGTTGAGGTTTGCTGCTTTGAATATGTATCATTGTGTTTTGTAGAGTTTCACCTTGGAGTACAATTTTATTAATAAATCATATTGCTTTGACTGTCTGAAAATTATCCCCTATTTGCATTTTTAAACCTGGAGTAAAAGCCTGTCAATACAACAACAAAATTACATTTGTAAAGGGCCTTTCATGTCGGGAGTATGTCCCAAGGCATTGAATATTCAGGGATCAGGATCCCAGCGTGGGGGGCAGGGTTGGGATGAGGGAGGGCAGAGGGGGTAGGAGGGTGGCTGAAGGCAAGGTCGAAAAGGAGGGTCTTGAGTCTTGCTTTGAAGGAGGCAAGAGAGGGAGCAAGGTGAGGCGATTATGGGATGGAGTTCTAAAACACTGAATTGCTAGTCTTATAAAGCTTGTAACTACAACAACAAAATTACATTTGATTACAACTCTGGTTTGTAGTCAAAAGCTATAATGCAGGAAAGTATTACAAACTTAATTTGTGATCAAAATCACAATGTATTTTTTTATCTAAATGTTCAAAAAAGTCTCTTCATCTGCTGAAAACTAGGATTAGAGAGAGCAGTATATACTTAAGACTTGCAATTTAGCTGCTGCACTTGCCAACAAAAGTAGTCACTGCACTTTACAGTAAATTCTGTGAAGTGCTTTGAGATGTCCTACTGATGGGGATAGGTGCCATATCAAATGCAAGGATTATTAATAATTATAAGATGCCGCCTTAAATGTAGTGGGAATGGACATATCCACTATTTAGCTGTTCTGAACATTTTCTGTTCTGATTGTCTTTTTGTGTGATTTTATGCATTAGTTAGTTAGTTATTAGTTATCCTACCAGGAAGTTTGCAGGACTGAGGCTTTTAAAATCATTTTTTTTGGTGTTAACATTTAATTAGTGGAGAAGCAAAGCTTTGAACGTAAGCAAATTGGGAGCATAAACGCTCTCGGATGTTACCACGAGTGAAGGGCGCTATATAAATGCAAATTGTTGTTGTATAAGAGGGCAAAACCAAGCATTTAGGTTAGTGCTAGAACTATTACGGGACTAACCTATAAATCTGAACCTTTTATAAATCCAAATTTATTATGGTAGAAAGGTACTACATTTGCTTTCAAACTACAGTACCGTGAATCACGTTATACTTAGCATATGTTTGATCAATTGCCCGTTAACCAGACAAGTCATACAATTTTCAGGCTAGAGGCATATTCCCCAGATTCCTTTAAAGACTTTAAAGTCTATTTTTGAATACTTGACATAAGAACATAGAGGAACAAACAATCTGACTTGTTTGTACAATCTGACATTGTGTTTGTGTGATGGTGGTTGGGTTTCAATTGAACAGTTTCTTTGTAATAAATGCACTTGTTCTTGCATGTTTCTTTAATAAAATATGTTTAATTTGCAATTCTTCTTCTGGTGTGTGTATATATGCAAGTGAGTTATAAGGAGACTAAACATCTGCCAACTCACTGATGAGAGTGGCACAGGAACCATTACATTATTGCATGAAAAGCAGAGCGCAATATGTTGTTCTACCCAATCTCACGAGAGAGCAGGTTTATCTCAGTGGCGGACAAACTTTTTGGTCGACCAACAAAATACATTCTCTTGATTAATTTATTGACTTATGCCATAAATAAAGACATTCAATCAAGAAAACCCTGGAAACACAATGTTGATTGAATACGGACTTACCTAGACTAGTGGGAATGTTGTGGGGGAGAAGTTTTTTGATGGCCTGAGGGGCACTGCCATGGTTTGGTCATTGCTTTACACAGTTCTCTTTCACTAAGGTGAATCTGATCAGTGGTGCTCACCCTGAAGCCTCAGATAGTTTGGTGTGTTTACTCTTCGAGGTTTGGGTTTGAATCCAGCTCACATTCACGGATTGAGAGTTTCTTTTCTCTAGCAGTTGTGCGACTCCTCTGTGAAATGTGCTTGATTGGTTTCTCAGCCCACATTAAATTTTGATTGCTCACCACAAGTCTAACCAACTAACAGCTACACATTCGGTCCCTCATTGCAGAGAGGGTCACCAGGAAAACAAGTCAAAACGGTGCAGTGAGGATAGATCCTTTGCTGACACCTTTTTGGGGTAGAAGAAAAGTTCTGACTTATAAAGTTAGTCAAAAACAAGCTTAAGGTAAAGTCTATGGAATTTGTAAGTGAAATTGTCTCTTTTCTCAATGTTAATGTAAAAAAAATGCATGGCAATGTTCCGCATGTTAAAGTTGATGCTATTTAAATCTCCCTTTTGAACCCGAGGAACACAAGTAGGTAATTTGCCCAATCAAACTATTTTATCATGTCATGAGGTTCGATAAGGCCTTTATACATCCGTAGGAGAAATACACTTCCCTGTTCATATATTCCAGACTCCTTTTCACAAAGCCAAGCTTTCCATTAGCCTCTTTGATTGTTGTAAATTTGAATGAAAATCTGGTTTATTTTATTTATCCTTATCTACTGTACATAACATAATCCGCCTGTATCCAAATTGCTGTATGTACATTCTAGTATTAGTGGGGTTGTGGCTCTACACTGTGAATTGGAATAAGATTCGAGCGCACAATGTTTCAATGTCTTTGCACAGGTTAGTAAATACAACGTCTCACCTTCAGTACTTCCCTTTAATCCCGTGAATAACTAAATTGACACTTGGGAAAAGAATCATCAAAAGTAATAGGAAAACACGAAATTCCCTGGAGCGTTGCAGCACAGAGCAATAAAAACAATAGTATTTAAATTGTTGTGTTGTGCGATTGCCTTGAGGGGAAGTACTTGTAATAGATTAAACAGTGATATTGACAATGCTGAAGTCAGGAAGTGGCCATGCAATCACACCTGAGACAGCAACAGTGTGCATTACAATTATTATTACAATATTAGACTTGTTAACTGAGTTTAAAAAGGCAATGCTTCCTTGTGTGTTTTATATATTAACTTGTAATCTTCATGAATAATGAAATCTTGTGCATAAACGGATGGCAAGGCAATGTAGAATAACGCTCCTATTAATAAAAACGAGCAAAGCAAGTTCACTGGGTGAGCTGGGTAACCTTTTCCACAGTGAAGGTTAGCCAAAGTAGCTGTACTTTAGGGTTTGTGACATTCTCACTTCTCTTGTTAGTCCTTTGTTTGATTTAATTATTTGTAATATTTAAATGAAACATATTTTTTATATATTTTATTATTTTTTATGCATATGTATATATATATATATTAAATCCTCTATTCGCAAACAGCTGTAATTGGCGTTCGAGAGACCAGATTTCAATTTGTACACATTTCCTTTTTTAAAAAAACACACCGTTCATTTACTGTTCACATTTTGATGTAAAATGCTTTAGTGACCAGTCGTTCTCCAACTTCTATTCATGTTGCGTTTACTCTTTAGTTTATTTTGGCCAAAGATAAAAGTGAAAAAATATGGGGCAAATATCTCGAAGCATTTTCATAGAGTATTCTATTCAAATAAATGTAACATTCGTTAAATAAGTATAATATGCCTTTACCTTTTATTTCTATAGTAGAACAGTGGAACCAAAGGATATGACCTGCGTTTGAAGTGGGGTAAATTAAAAACAAATCTATGGAAACACTATTTCAGTGAGCTAGTAGTAAATTTATTATTATTATCATTATTATTATTAATGTATGGAAAAGGCTCCAAACAGAGATGGTGGAAGCAGAAAGTGTCAATTCTTTCAAAACCAAATTGTTTAAAAGACTAATATTGTGGGATACTGTATATAATTGGACCATCACATGTGCAAGGGACTGCCAGGATAGTGGAAGGGGAACTGTTTGGCCTTGGTCTTTCATCTAGCAATTCTTATGTTCTTAATGTTAAGCTGAAATTCTTCAGAGATAATAAACGATGGCTGATTTGGCGATGTATTGCCAATGACTTTATATCATGAAGATTTTTTAAAACAAAAATTCATCGATGCGAGAGGGAAAAGTGGGCTTTGAATATAGTTGCAATATTTATTGTCCTTCTGTTAAAAGCCAAATACTGTAAACAAACTGTTAATTCGGGTAAAACACCATCTCGGACTCGCTGAAAGGATGAGATAGATTCCTTTCTGCTTTGGTTTGTGGGGGGAAATGTTGCAAAAATAGTGAGAACTCTGGAAAATCGACTGTATGCNAAAAAAATATGACTGCATCAAACCAATATACAGGAAACACTGAGCATGTTTTATTGGAATATTGAAGGTTAAACGTTGCAATGAAAATGCTAAGGATTTCATACACAGAACAACAAAATACCAGAGATGAACAATATCTGTGAGAAAGAAAAACAGCGCGTTATTTTCAAGTCATAAACACCAATAAATTATTATTTTACGCCATCGGCAAGGAACAGAAATTCGTCAATCACAACAGTCATTTTTCTTATAAATAGTTCTCAATAAAGCACATTTTATTTACACGTAGTTCCGATCTCCTAACGCACAAACCGACAGACACACGTTTATATCTCGATGAATCCATCCACTTATTGTAATCGGGAAGTGAGTACAATTCCTTCGTTTCTCTTCCGCCTTCCTATTAACATCAGCACAACGAAACAAGACAGACAATAATGGGACAAGGATCATTCGCTTGTAATACCTATATATATATATTTATATTTAATTGATTTCTTATTCGTTAAAAAACAATGCTAGTGTGGCGAAAACCAAAATACTCTTCAACATGGGATAAATAGAAGGGAAACTAACCATGCAACAGCCACGATTCAGTATGTTCATTATTGCTTAACAATGCTCGCCTGGTTCATTGAACATGAATGTTAGTCTGCTTTCTTTATATACATATATATATATTAATCATAACAAGTATTTACTGCCATGTACACCTTCCAGTTTTGAGTGCCTTTGTCAGTACGTGAGCTGTGATCCATCCCTCACACTGCAGAGTGATGATACTGGGCTGATATTGCACACCTTTGCTTCCAAACGCACTATTACAACATTCTCTCTGCACCGTTTTGATGTCCCATTTTGCTTTGATCGATCGTTTGAGACGCACACAGTTTGAACACACGTGTTGAGGGGCGAGAAATTCCGTCTCTCTCTGTTTTTAAAAACTGCCAAAACTCAGCAACTCTTGGGATTGAAAATGACAGGAAAACGTGTGAGGGGTGAGCACATCTAAAGGGTGAGCAAAGGAGCGATCGGAACCGAATTGAAGCGTAGAATGAATGAATTGAATGAATGAATGAATGAATGAATGAATTAATTAATTAATTAAATGAGTGAATGAGTGAATGAATGAATGGGGAAGGTTCTGGTGACACAGTACTCGGGGACGATGTACCTAAACCCTGGATGTGGCTGTGGGGAAGGGGCTGATTGCAGGGAGGGGTGGACGGGTCAGCAAGGCAACGGGGGCTTCTGATCACGGTGGGTAGCACAGAGGAAGCTGTTGCCTGCTTGAAAAGGTCCCGATCAGAGGAGCGCTGCCCGGGCTGTACACAGTTCTCGTGGACATGTTCAACACGGTGGAGAGCAAGCAGGGGGCTGACCGCTGGAGCAGGTTGCAGTAAGTGGCCTGGATCTGGGAGTTGGAGCAGGGCAGAGGTGACCCCGGCGTGGCCTGGGAGCTGCCGATGAGGTTTTCGATGCTGAATGAGGATCGGTTGTTGATGTTGTTGTTGTTGGTGGTGGTGGTGTTGGCGGTGGCGGTGCTGGAGGCACTCTTGGAGCTGAGGGTGTGGAGCTGGATCTGCAGAGAGGCGCCTCGGGGCTGCGGGAGGGGGATCTTCCTGGGCTGGGGGCGAGCCTGGGGCAGGGGGGAGATGCTGCCAGCGACCTCGGGGGCGGCCAGGTAGCTGAAATGAGGCGGGGGCTGCACCAGCGCTTGCGGGTGCAGGAGGTAAGGGCGACCGTAAGGTCTGTAAGTGCAAGTGAGGTTATGGTAGAACATCAACCCTCCCCGATCCTTCACAAACTCTGCTTCGTGGTGATGGTGATGGTGTCTCTTGAACCTCTTCCTCCTACGCAGAAAGCTGCCGTTGTCGAACATGTCCTCCGAGGCGGGGTCCAGGCTCCAGTAGTTGCCCTTGCCGGGGTTGCCCGGCTCCCGGGGGATCTTGATGAAGCAGTCGTTGAGGGACAGGTTGTGCCTGATGGAGTTCTGCCAGGCGGGGAACTTCTCCCGGTAGTAGGGGAAGCGGCCGCTGATGAACTCGCAGATGCCGCTGAGGGTCAGCTTCTTGTGCGGACTCTGCAGGATGGCCATGGTGATCAGGGCGATGTAGGAGTAAGGCGGCTTCACCAGGTTCGCGTGGGGCTTCTTCTGGTCGCTCTCAGACTCGGGCTCCGGGACCCCCCGCTCCCCTCTGGCGCTCACCAAACACAGCCCCCGCCTCTGCTGCCACTCCCTCCCCTCCTCTTCCTCCCGCTCCCCGTCCTCATGCCCAAGAATGTCGATCAGCGCTTCCTCGGGAGCCCCCATCTGCTGTTGTTGTTGTTGTTGGCCGCCGCTGCTCAGATCTCCACACAGTGTCATTGAGGGCCTCTCACCCCCACCTTCCCACCCCCCTCCCACACACACACCCACACCACACACACCCCCACACACACCCACTCCAACACCCCCCACACCCCCCCACACACACCCCACACCCCCACACACACCCACTCCCACCCACACACACCCACACCCCCTCCCACACCCCTCCCCCCCCACACACACACACCCACACACACCCACTCCAACACCCCCCACACCCCCCCACACACACCCCACACCCCCACACACACCCACTCCCACCCACACACACCCACACCCACACTCCCACCCACACCCCCTCCCACACCCCTCCCCCACACACCCTCCCCCCCCCACACACACACACCCACACCCCACACCCCCACACACCCCCACACACACCCCCACACACACACCCCCCCACACACACACACCCCTCGCACACCCCCCACCCCCCCACACACGCCCCACACACACACCCTTCCCACACACCCCCTTCCCACACACCCTTCCCACACCCCCCCACACACAGGGGCAAAATCCACTTCGATAAGACTCTGCTTCTCTTCTGCTGATGAGTGGAGGCGGCGGAGTGCCCGTCCCCCCGGACGGTGATGCTGACACTCTGGGCAGTGGGAGTGGGTGAGAGCGGGTGAGTGACTCCCGGCGCTGTGCTCAGTGACCGCCGTGTCCCGGGGACACACAGCGCAGCGCTGCGGCTCCGGCACTTATAGGCTCGGCCCACTGACAGGGCGCATGCGCCGAGCGGCGGGGGTCTGCCTCAGGTTTGAAGGTAAGGTTTACAGGTGTCGGGGGGGTGGTCTCAGGGTCTGTCTGTCTCACACAGAAATAAACAAAGGCTGAGATAGGAAACGGGAATGTGGGGAGTGGGGTTCAGATGTCCTTCCGACATGACATTTGCGCAATAGCCAAATGCAATTATTATTATTATTATTATTATTATTGAGGAATGGAGATTGGAAAGTGGGGATGGGGAGCAGGATGGGGATGGGGAGCAGGATGGGGATGGGGAGCAGGATGGGGATGGGGAGCAGTGTGGAGATGCAATTGATGCAAACCTAGAGGAATACTAGTCAATATTTGGGGAGTAACACTTATGTATTTTTTTTTAAAAGTGATATGATGTCTAATTCGATATATTGTAAACAAATTCTTTCTCTGTCCCCCCCCTTCCCCCCCCCCCCCCCCCCCCACGTGTGTCGGGCAATAACATGTAATGGGACATGTATATTAAAAACTCCCTCCATCAAATCCAATAATAATAATAATCCTTGCATTTGACACAGAGCCTTATCAAGTAGTCGAGGCATCTCAAAGCGCTTCACGCTGTACTACAAAGTGATTTGATTGTGTATATTTTGTGGGGGGGTTAATGCACACAAGTGCATGTGCAGTCGCTTGTGGTAAGGTGAAGTGTTTAAACGAGGCTGTTATACTTGAATCTTGATCTGAACAGACTTTGTACCTTTGTGTTAGGATCTCACTTTACAAACAAATTCCCTGGTAAAACCTGTTACAAATTCCTGAATGCCACTGTGAGAATGAATGCCCCTTTTGTTGCCTGAACACTCACGTTTGCTCAGAATTGTGAACAGCTCTGCAGTCCAGTCTTAATTTGGGGGGCGGCTGCATTTCTTGCAAGAGCTTCGGGAGGAAAACGGTTTCCAAATTAAGAATGGATTTGAAATGTTTTTTTTGGCAATTCTGACCGATCTTAAATAAGAAGTCAAGAGTCGAGTAGAGGCTTAGACTAAATGGATTTCCGCACCTCCGGCGTGGGTCTGATCTGCTGCCTTTCTGATGTTAAACACTTCCTCGAGTGGTACCTAACGGCATGACGATTAATACCGTGCAGTGAATGCAAAGTGTCCTGGTTGGATTCAGCCAAGACGATTCGACTGAACGCACATCCCAGGGAAGGAAAGGCTGCACTTGATCGCAAGGAAAGGTAAGGGATCTCGCCTTCTCCGAGAATATTCGGGCAAAGTAGACTGAAACCCGCAAGTGTTATCATCCGCTAGAAAAGAGGGAAGCAGCCGCTTTTGTTTTAGGATGAAATCGGTGCTCGCTGTCTTACTGGGGAAAAAACAGTGTGAGTGCATATATATATATATATATAAAACAAACACATGCATATCCAATGTGCAGCCAGCCAGCGAGGGCAAACGCTAAACAATTTATAATTGCACATTAACATCTACTGTTTTTTTTAAAAAAATCAATTAGGATAAGGTGCAAAGTGATTTTCGCTGCTGGCAAGGAAGCGTTACTGAATGCGAACAGCGATCTCATATATTTAGTGGGTCTTTTTTCGTGTGGAAATCTTGTCTCTGGATCGAACTGTTGAATAATTTATGTTTTTGTTTGAACCGGAAAATACACTTACGAGCCCACGATTGAAGTCTGCGTTAGAAACAAGTTCATTAACGCCTGAGAGGTAAATTTGCATCAAAAAAAGACACATTAGTATTATTTATTCTGGTGTCGCGGTGGGCAGCGTCTCCATCTCCATCTGGCAATAGTCAGCCCGACACACTTGCAGCAAAAGGCATTTTATTTTGCACTCTGCGTGCATATTGTGAAAGCTGCAATGCACAGGTTTAAGGGGATGAGTGATATATGCTATTTGCTGGTCTCTCCCACCCCCCACCCCCCCCACCCCCCCCACCCCCACACACACACCCCCACACAGCGAATAGCCTGGATATTGTCATAGAAACCCCCCCCCCCCCCCCCAGCCTGTGTGAGCAGAGGTGTTAACGAGTCTATAATCCGGCCATTCCGCATATGAATCACGTTAAAGGAAACGGCACAGTAGCGATCGCTTCAAAGGATGTCACTGGAGGGAACGAAATAAAGAAAAGCCTCCAGGAATGGGGAGCGTTGGATCCAAACACTACTGGGCGCTGATCTCCCGGAAACCCAGCGAGAGGAACGCTTTCCGAATCCACCATTTGAAAAGGAAACGCAACGTTGCTTTTATTCGTGCAGTTGAATGTATTGCATGTATTCGTTTGAACGCGCACAGTTGATCAGTCCGTGTCCTGTGTTGTGCTCAGAGAATCATTAAGGACCCGAATCACAATGTTTGGCCAAGCCCCGAGAGGGTGGGGGACGATTCCCACACTAAAGTAATCACTGACTTTAAAACTCATGTTGTGAGCAGTTCTGATGTCTCCGGGAAGTTTTTGCCTCCAGACCCTTCAGTCATTGCTGCAGTTACAGTGACCACAGTCGGTGCTTGAAGTGGACACTCCGGTGCACTGGTATTTCGATTCTTTGTGATGATTGATGGCTTAGAGACCAGATCTTATATTGTAGAAAGGTTGAGTTGAAATACATAGTTTCACTCACAAAATACACAGTCAATCCACCTGTCCATATATCATGTGAAGCGCTTTCAGTCATCTCGACGTGATAAGGCGCTGTATCTCAAATGCAAGGGTTATTATCACTGTAGTATTATTATTTTACAATTATCTGAATAAAACGAGTGAGTGACTCCGCAAAGACAATGTTCGCCCACATTTCACGTGTAGATGAATATTCGTGGCTTCTTTGTGATTTGTGTCATTAAAAAAGTGTTACTTGGAAACCTGTTTGTTGGTTGATTCACAAAGCAAAACGTGCGGTCAATTTATTTCCCAGAAATACATCAGAAATGCATCTCGAAATACAGCGAAATAGAAATCCAACTCGGTGATTTTAACAGTGAGTAAAACAGCTGTAAACCGCACATTCACATATTTCCTTGACATAAATATAGGTAATGATAAGGGACAGTGGGAACGATTACAACTATTAATCTCTTTTATTGCTTTCATGCAGTTGTGCACACCTTCGCAAGGGGTTTATCTTCAGATATCACAGTTGAAAAAAGTGAACGATTTGTAATTAAAAAAATATCTTTGCATTTCGACAAAGCGCCTTTCATATCCAGACGGCGTCTTAAAGCGCTTCGCGGGATTTACTGTAACGTGTAGTGACTGTGTAGGCTGGGTTGTTGATATTGAATTTCCCCCTTAAAGTGTGCATTTTTTACCGTATGCATATATGCATACTGTATATACATGCTATACATACAGTATATGTATAACACAAATAAAATATAAACTGTTTGAAATATAACCTGATGGCTTATCGTCTACGTGGTAACTTCGTTAAAGGAACACGATATCAATCCATTTTACCGAAACAGCGATTGTTACTGTTTTGATAAAACGCACATTAAAGAGCTGAGTTGCTCAGTAACCTCTGATAATATAAATGGAATATTTGCAATAGTTATGCTTGTCATGTTTCACTGATCAGGAATATAAGTTAACCACAACGGTGTCCTTTGCTAAGCAGTTGGTACAGGTGCCATTTCCACGCTTCCTCGTTTCACACATATTCACAAAATACTTTGCCACAATTACATGTTATGGTTGATTTTTTTTTATAAAGCTGACAGCTAATCTGTGGTTTATCTTCCTAAAGTGAGCATTTCGTTGATGTCTTCACAAACCGTGTGGTCATTGCAACATTAAACCAATCTACCGACGGAGAAGAGTGTGAGCAAAACCTGAAAAATCCCATGTGGAATACCATCAGCAGATCTCATTCGCTCTTTCAAAGATAAAGCGAGACTTGCCTGGAATTATCGTTAAGTCGAATCACTGGTATTTCAATTTGCTCTCAACAACCTGTAACTGATATTCTGCATTTTAATTAATTCTGATGTTATTAGGTGACAAAATAAGGTACCTTCATTCCACTGAAATTACATTTTGAAAGAAAGTGCATTGTTTGCAGTTTGTTTATCCAGCGCAAGGAGTCCAGTCAATGCCAAATGCCTCCAGACATTGTTCAGTGAGAGAATATATATATCAGGAATTTATCATATAGCGTCTCTCACTGAATGTGTCCATGAGAAATTGGGTTAACCTGCAGACCCCCCCCCCCGGCTAACCACAAACGTCCCTGCTCCGCTTCTATCATATTCGTTGTTTATTTATTTGTTTTATTGATTT